AGAAAGACGTCAAGCCTACTTATGAATCCCTCAAGAACTCTATCCCTCATATTATTCAAATGACAAAGGGATTTGGTGAAGCAGTTTTGATCCAGTATGCTGTTAAAAAGGCTTTGCATTCAATGTCAGCTCCTTCAAATGATGAAAATTAGAGGTAAACAATGAGTTGATCATAATTTGACATTTGGTTCCTCAGTGTCTCCATACATTTGGTGTGGGGTATTTTATCTGTTCTTTGGATTTCAGAGTTTGTGTATAATATAATCTACATGATGGACATGATGGACAACATTTTGGTGAATTTGTTCTGTTCAGAAACTTTGTTCCTTTTAAAGAACACTGGATTTCTTTACCTCATGCTAGATTATTGAATCTTTTAAATATTGTGGGGATTCAAATATGGGTCTGAAGACAGAAATTTACGGCACAACCATCAAGATTATTGGTCATGTTGTTGACTCAGAAAGAACACTTTTCTTGGAACCAAACAAGAAAGTACTCTTGGTTCAAAAACACAATGTTTTGTAATGCCAACACATTCATTAAAGGAATGACAAGCATTGTTAGGTTCTGCATCTTGGTCTTGCAATTCAATTCCTAGATGTTGTTTTGCTTTACAAAGATTGTGTGGGGTCCTCTGGATCATCAAATGATGGATGAGTATATGGAGAAAAAGAACTCTTACCAGACTTGCAAAAATGGCAACTTGTCTCTTCCAACTGGTGTGCCAGCTGTAGTATGCCATTTTGCTCCCAAACTTTATGGTGGCAATAAAGGTATTACTTCTGTACCAGAAAAAATCATTCAACAGATGATTCAAAAATTTTATGCCAATTGCCAAGACTTGTTTGTTGTATCTCCAGAACCCTTCAACACCTTGATCAAGAATTTGATGTCTGATCTAGGGGAGTCTACAGATCAGCTTGACATGAACAATGTTTGGATTCTATTTGAACAACAGCATGAAGTCTTGAGTAATTTCACAGTCTCAGACAAGTTGTTGTACTGTCAAAATACCATGAACAATATAAATTCAAACCCCCTAATGGGGGTTTCAAGTTTGGTTTTGTTACTTTGTTGTTGAAAATTCAGACAAGTCATCCATAAACAAATCTTTGTAAAACCAAAATATTTCTGATTTTGGACACATAAACAGGTGTCCCAAATTAAAAAAATATGCATATTTTACAACACGGGGCAAGTTGTTGGGGAGTATCAGAAGGGTTGTGCAATAACTTAGTGGCTAACTGGTAGCCACCAGACCTGTTCATTTCTATACACACAGCCTTTCCCATTTCAGACTTAATGGCTGACTTCCCATATATCCACCCAAAGGAGATATCAAAACACTGAAGAACCATCAGAATTGGACAACAAGCTCCCTCTCTTCTTGCAAGGCCTTGAGCAAGGTGAGATGAGAAAAATGAAAGGCTTATTATTGGCTTCTTCATTCATCGCATGTGTCCATTTATGCACTTCTTTGAATAAACTTCTTTTTGAACAAATAACATTTGGTCAAAACGTAGTTTTTCTTGTGCTCATTGATTTAAGCAATGGCTGGGTGAAATTCATTCTATATCTCTTATATCCAAATGGGTATGTGTTGGGTCCTTGAGCCCTCTTTGCCTAGGCTTGCGGGTACACAGCAGGAGTTGAAGGTACGGATGAATCAAATGTGAAATAAGGCCAATTATTTGATGGTTGTGAACAGATGTCACACACATTCACATTTTGTACAACAGAGTGTCAGACAACACACTGTGGGGTAGATGTCACACAGCTCTTAGCCGCTAACAGATAGTGGCTAATAAATTGCACAAGCACTCCGAGGTTCTGAGTTGTTGTAGTGTAAAAATATGTAAAAAACCTTCAATTTTAAACCCCCTATTGTACTGCACAATCACATACCATACTTTTACTGAAAATTTACTATAATGAAGTCAGGTGGTGGGCACAGAATCCTTTGTCTGAAATGAGCCCAAATAGCAGGGGGCGTGTGGGCGTGCCTTTTGAGCACAAAAACATGAAAGACATGAAAAAAATCTTGAAAACAGCAATCAAGGCTGTGATGAAGCTCAAACACAAATGGAGTAGTGATGAAAGCTGTTTCAAGTCAGGATACCCACATTTTGAGATAACAATCAGAGAATGTTTTTGTTCATGAACTATTTTAAGGGTCCTGTGACTCAGATGAGCAATTGATAGGAAAAATATCCTGAGTGGAGCTCATCTGTACGGCATTCTCTGGATTGAAAGTTGCACAGACCAAAATGACAATGTAAAGGGCTTCCTCTAGCCCAAGATTAGGCCCAAGAAGATCTTCTACGCTTCAGATGATCTCAGTCTTGCGTATGGGCGTGCCTTTTGACCCGCAGGATGTGCCGCGCCCACCACCTCTAAGGATATGCTCTGATGCAGTCCCAATTCACATGTCTCATTCCTACATTGATACAGCTGTTCCAACAAAGATTGATTTTTTTGAAAATCTCACCAATGTGCAAAACCCGGGTTTTGTCCCTCACTTGATTTTGTCTCTCCGCTAATTGGAAGAATACAGGGAATAATAAACCTGTAATCAAGTTTTGTCTTTGGTTTTAGCGGCTGCGGAGACAACTTTCTCCAAAAAACAGGTGTCAACCTTTCTTGGAACGGCTGTAACAAGTTACAGCTATTCCAGGAATTGGTGTCGTGGTCGCCCAAATTCCTGGTGTTTTTCCCCCCAGCGCCACTGGCAAATACAGGCAGTGCGCAGCGCAGCACAGCTGTAACGGGGAGTGGACTCGTATATCCGGCAGCATTGGATGCCCTCCTCAACTGGCCCTGATACTTTGTTTGGGGTTGTTTGGATGGATCGATTCAGTGACCCACCGGATCGATCCATATCGCACTACATCATCCACCATATCCACCACCATACGATTTCCACCACCATATCATCTCCACCACAATACCGACCCAAGCTCACACATCAACACCTCAACACAAACAATCGAACGCTGGATGGCCTTCCAATGTTTGGTTGATGTTGGCTTGCCCATTCAATCACCAACGGATTTGGTCATGCAATACCAACCAGACTTTCACTCAATCCACGAGATGACCGATTCATACCGGGCCCCCTCATCCCATAAAACGACAGCCTCCCTGACCGTTTTTCCCCTCAAGACACACATTATTGTCAGCAGATTCAACAGGTACTCAACATCCTCACTCATCACTTTCAGTATGGTTAATAGCAAGGCTTCCAACGCACCTTCGTTAGTTTGGTTCCCTCCGATCCGTTCTTCATCTCATCGTTGTGATCTAATTTTCTTTTTATTTTTCATGTATGATAAGTCAGCTGTGCAGTCGAGATTCAAAACATGAGCAAAAAAAAAGGACCAACCGAGGAAAACCAGCATGTTGGGGTTCAGAGCACCCGCTGCGTATAGATACTTAGCACGCTTCGAAGGACTTTGATTAGGGTGCACCGTTCGAGCTTTTTTGCGGGTCAGGTGGAGTCGATCCTTGAGGTCACTCGCAATGGTTTGTAAAGCAACCCATTCGCCGGTACGTCGATAAACTGCGAATCGATATTTGTCCAAGTACAGAGCAGGATTGCTGTCTAGTAACTCCAACATAAAATCTCTATCCTCATCATCCAGACGGGTAGTTCTTCCAAGGCGACGGTAATCTTCAGGGTTGCGGATTACTGAATAGGTACGTCGATATAAGGAGTGCCAACGGGAGATGGTTCGCGTGCTGACCGGAGACTTCAATAGCCGCCGCACTTGTTCAATCGTTTTGCCTGTGCGGAGATGCTGCACTGCCAGCACCTTGATGCCGACGTCATATGGACCGCGTCCGGATCGCATGTCTAGGATGGGGATGTGGAAGCGTCAGCGTCGTGGTTTTCTGAAAATGAAAAGGGAGAATAACGAACCAGAGAACAGGGAGGATGTTGAATGAAATTTTTGGATGTGGGAAAAAATCTGCGAGGCGAAAATTTTCACACGGGTCTGTGTATCCGGCAGTTTGGGGTGTATCCGGCATTTCGGGGCTGAGCTGCTCTTCACCCCGCTGCGCCTGTATTGCCGGTGGCGCTGGGGGAAAAACACTAGGAATTTGGGCGACCACGACACCAATTCCTGGAATAGCTGTACCAACATCAAGAAATGACGAAAAACTCGTAATATACTTATATACTATAAAAACTGAAGCAGTGACATGCGATGTGTGGGTGAGAATCCTAGGCTTAGTGTCTAGGGTTGATAATTTCTTAACCAGGGTTATGTATTGTGATTTTGAGGTAAGGTTCTTGAAGGGTCGCTGTTTGAATTGTTTTCGTCGATACCTGGGGGGCGTTTGGAGGGCAAGGGGATCAGTCGAAGTGAGGATTGTTTGATTGAGGAGAATGAAAGTTTCTGAAGGTTTCTTTGCAAATTTGACTTCGAAGTTCATTGAGAGTCAAGGAGTGATCAAGACTGCATGTATTGTGCTTTTCGATCCGGTTTTTGATTTTGTCCATTCAACGCCTCCTCGAGATCTGGCCTCCTCAGCCGTTCGTTCGATCGCAGGATTCTTGATACCGGAAAACGACATCGATACCTAGCGAGATTCATACGACCACCCGAACTATCGATAGTACAGTCATTTAAGAAGAGCTTGCCCCAAATTCCCCGCCAATTCGCTTGAGTTTTGCGGGCAATTTGGGGCAAGCTTTTCTTAAATGACTGTATCCTCACGAGATGACAATATCGAATGATTTAGATTCGAACATCTCCTTGCTGTCTCGTATCAGCTCCGATGGACCTAGTCTATCCAAAGAACTCAGTCTATTACTCACCTCAACCAGTCAAAGCTGTCTTGTTAGAGTGAATCACTCAGTACCACTACGGGAATTCATTGAAACCTTTTTAAGTTATCATCCTGCTACACAGTTCCCTCCAGTCGAACATCATACCTCAAAACACGATTCACTTTATCTTGAAGATATTGAAGTTGCAGCAGATTGGTTTAGAATGAACGTAGACTTTTATCCTGAAAACATTGATGAGAGATTAGAATCAGATCACTTTTTAATTGCTATAGTTTTTATCGTTACAATCACCTTACCAATTGAGCTTACTGGATTACGTTTGATTGTTTTGAATTCTCAAATCTTCAAAAGATTCAATCGGTATGTTTTTTTAAAAAAATCACAATCACATTTTTAAATCACTTACAAAATCTTTTTTTGTTTCTTGTTAGATCAATGCAAATTCTTTTAAAATTACAAATCGTTTCTTCTTATATTTCTATTGGAGAACTCCCAAATGCCAAGATCTTTCTCAACAAGATGGTTTCACGATCAAACAAATTCTCGAATATTCCTGAATTCAAAACACTTCAAGATTTGCTCTTGAATGTTAAACTAGAATCTCCTGATCCAGATGTTAAAAGCAATAGCATACATGTTACTGCAATCCCAGCCATTGTTGATAGTCTTCTACATCAAAATTGTGAAATCAAAACTGAAGAAGATATGATTGACACAGGGGCTAATCTATATCAAATCCAAAATCCTACTCACTCCTCAAAGAAGGAATATGATGTTTCAGATAATGATGAACCAGCACTCAAGACCAGATCAAATAGCTTCGCTGATCAAGATCAAAGTGCAATAATTGATGAAGATATGAGTGACACAAAACCCAATCTAGATCACATCCAACATCCTAAGAGATCCGCCAGGAAGCGACATGCTACTTCCGATGATGAAAACAGTCGAAGCCCCAAAAAATGTCTGAAGTCCAAAAGTAGATCTGTCAGTTATGCAGCAATTCCGGAAACAGTGATACTAGATGATGAACCATTTCCAAAACCACCACATTCAAGTACCACAATTGATGCCGATCTTGAAAGTCGTCAAGATATGGAAGAAGCGAAATATGTGATATCCACTAATCAAACTTGGCCAGAACCCATCAACAAAATCGATTTTGATTCTCTCAGGAAACCAAAACATCTTCATAAACATAGGTTAACTATCATCAATCAACTTCGATGGGAGTCTGAAGGTAAGTAACCATCACTTTAGCTAAAACATCACTCTGATCGTTGATCGAATCCGTACTTCTTTTATGTGACACAGGTGTCATTGTTAAGCCTAAGTTATTCGCAGATGCGTTTTGGAAATACAAGATAGATGGAATTACACCACTAGAGAAATTAGGAAAAGGTGTAAGAGAAGAGAGTAGAAGAACATTAGATAAATACCTTGAATACTGTGAAAGATATTCTATTATGGCTTTACCTTTTACAAAAGTCAAATTATATTTATTTTTTATAGAAGATTTTCATCATCTTTCTCTATCAACTACTAGAAATTATTCAAGATATTTATTTTATGCAGTTAAAGTTATGAGGATTATGATACCTCATTTGGTTGGTAAATCGATTACTATAGAAGAACTTAAAGCAAGTAAGCTTTGGATTAGATGGTTAGGTGAAAGAGAAGAATATGACCGATTGAGAAAATCTGGGAATCCTTCTCACTGATATACTACCTTATACTGCATAAAAATATCGGCTGTAGTATGTACAATCAACTTTGTATGAATTGTCTTTTATTAACTCATGAAATCATCATGTTTACTGAAAATAACGAAAACTATGATCTGCAACGCGGATATTGTGGAATACTTCGTCACTAATATTGAACAAAATTCATCCTCCAATTATGATTATTTCATGAAGTAAGGATAAGCTTGTTTATGTACTTGGACTGAAACTCAATCTGCACCCCTTTTGTTGCTATCATTATTTTGAGATGGCTTGTTTGTCTTCGAATTTGAAAGAATATGACATGCTTTCTGTTGTCTTTTTATGATCACTACGGACGGAAGTTATGTGCTTGAGACTGTAAGCACCACGAATTAACTTACAGGAATTTGGAGAATATACTCACTATACTATCTCACTTTACAGCAAAAATCAACTTTGTGAAGATCGAGAAAGAATCCGAAAAATTATGATTTCTAAGTATGTGATTGCCCTCAAATTACACCAGCAAGATAAAACAAAAATTTAATGACCTAGAACTAATAAAGATATCTTTTTTTGTTACAAGTTTGATAGACGATAAATAAAAATGAGTTATAATTTTACATTCAACGCGAAAGGATAAGTAATAGGTGATTTAACGAGAGTAATATAAGATCCACAACAAACACGCTTCAATTGACCTTAAGATAAAGAACTCTGTAACGGAAAGAAGGATAGTCAATAAGAATCCATCGTGAAGAGTTGAAGGATACAAGAACTGGAAATAGAAACATACCTGAAACCAATCAAGGAAATATCCGAAAAAGAAGCAATCCTTGAAAGAGTGTATCAAAAGGTTTAGGAAACAAAGCCATTCATCCCGATCCCCGGAGTCCTGCAATCAAATCATCATAAATCAGTAAAAATCGAAACAAAGGACAATAATAATATGAAAAAGAAAAGACATACCCTTGGGAGAACGAGACCTCGATGTAGATGCATTTCTTCTTTTGCTACGTCTAGATCGCGATTTAGGAATAACCAAAAGAAATCTTGCATCTTGTTGTTCATATCGAGGAGGTAAATTTGTAACATGAGGTTCAGTAGGAGGAGTAATAACAATATCAGGAACAGGAGGAGTAACAATGATGATAGGAATAGATGAAGGAGGAAAATCATCAAGATCTTGATCGAAGTTGATGATTTCATTCGCGAAGAAACATAAAGCCAAGAATCCCGCAAGGATAGAAGAGATGAGAAGAATGAGACAAATCACGAAAATTATTTCTGAAGGTAAGAATGCTAGGATCATAACACCGATGATGACTACTGGTTGAAATTTCTTTGGGAAAAGCAAGTGGACGATGACGAAAAGTAGAATAATGGGTAGAACGTAGAAGAAGAATGTCTCAAAGAGCTTATGATAGGAGGGTGAAGAATTCATGATGAGAGGATGGATTGATTGATTGAAAGATTAAACTTGAAGGTAGAGGTGGAGGTAAAGTTTGATATAGAAAAAGACTTCAAAGTTTTGGGATGGTAGAGGTGATAAAAGCACACGAAAGATGACGGACCGAAGAGAAGGTCTAAATACTCATCTCAAGCTGATCACAAGCTGATCACTTCAATTGTAGCATTATTCTTATGCTTAAAATGAAATGTCATTCATTTCTGCCATATTCCGATCAAAATGTAAACACCCTTTCAATTCTCTACGGATCCCTTTCACAATTTCAGTACGGCCTCTGATGCTGATGATTGCGCGCATCAAAGTACTCAAAGTATTGGGAGTCGTCCATTCATTTTATAACTTTTTATACATTGCATCAAAGAAGTTGCGTTCCCTTGCCTAGATCTTGGCTAGGTCAGGCAAAAGCTTGTAGCGGGCGTGAGGTCTTTGCATGGATGGAGAGCTCCACTGAACTCTCTATAATACAAGACCTGACCCCGGAGGAGGTCTACGAAAGACAATATCCTGGAGAGTTCCACTCGCTTTTTCAACTCTGTATTTTGTATTGGAGTTCTTTGGATGAAAGCCTCTCCAATTCGATCTTCGCTTTTTCCTTCCCGGTGATTTTATCGTTGATTTTAACGTACTACTTACACTAGAACTCGGAGGTGGGAGGTCAAGATAGTTGTTATAGTAGTTCATGAAATAGGAAACGTATAGTAAGTATGAAATGGATGGATAAACAAGTGAGGAATAAACGATCCAGCAGAAAAAGGAGAGGGACATATATAACCTCTGCTCTTGTTAGTGAAACACAGAAATATGTGCGATCCCTGTTTGACGTATTGCGTATTGTGCATACGCTAAGTTTTTTTAATTGCCTCTGAATCCATTCTTCTTTCGTTGGTTTCTTCCCTCTTAAGTTACCCCTTCATGGACGTGTCTTGAACTTGCACTTCATCTCTTGTACAAGAAGCTAATAAACTTAAGCTTTATTTACATTATTGTTAATGTTGTTGTTTGTAAACAAGTATTTTTCAATTTAAAAAGATCCTCATCGGTCTTTGTATTTTTTACAATCACTTGGGAGGGAAGGGACACTTCAATCAACATTCAGCCTGCATCTGGTCAAGTAATCTCTCTGACTTCTGATATCATCCTGAGTTTCTGAGTACTGCTATCTTAAGGGCCAAAGATGTACAATCCACTGTTCACCAATGATGATGATGATGGGGAGCAGACTGACCCACACTCAATACCCATGAGGTTGCTTACGAGGATTGTAAGCTACCCTGCCATTACTTCCAGAAACCATACGGGAATAATCAATTATGGCAATATTGTAAGTCTTATGATCAAGTGGCTCAATGAGCTAGAGATCTTGATGTGCAATCTATGTATACAGACCTTTCTGATGCCTTTCAAGCTGTATCCAATACTGAAACAAGATACAAACGCGGGTAAGTCAAAGATGGTCACTTTCTTTATTCTGCGTCTCCTTACAATGATACCGTGAGCAGATCCAGGAGAAAAGAATAGCACAATATTCAATAGGTTTTCAAAAAAAACATGGGACTGTCGCGCAGAACTTCAACGAGGAATGGTCACTTTCTTCATACTCTTGGCTTCCTATGATCTTCCTATGAGTATAGCAAGGAGACAGAAACAGAACTACCTATCATGTCTTACAAGTCCTTGAAGATTTTGAACCGTATTTGGGTGTGCTGCGGTAGGAAATCAACGTGTCATCCAAAAAAACCGGTTTCCTTCAAAAACGATCTACCCTATTTTTTGAGTCCTTGATGCGAAAAACCCCGCAAGTTTGCTGCACTTAATGAGTGATTGACCTCGTTGGGATTTCTTGGCCTACAAAACTTGATGAGGCAATCAAACCTTCTTTTTCCGACCTTAGGTCATGTATCGAGTAGCAGTCTCTGAGCACGATTAGAAAAGTTCTAATCATATTGTGCCCAGCTTGTAAGCACTCAAGCAGTGGCATTTGCTGAAAGTGTCGCATCAAGCAAGACAAAGCTACCTCACCTCTCCTGATGATGAGTACTGTGCTGTACATACAGGATAAGAGTGATTATGCGTTTGGGGGAGACTTTCCGCCTTCGTTCCTCTTTGGCCTTGCTTGTAAGGATCCAATTTCTCCTGAGGCATCCGACTGAACATATGTGTTGTGGTTCAAGTGTCAGGTATTTTACGTTTTTGTTGCCTGGTGGAGTCCTCAAGATTGTCACTCCAGCTATCTGATTATGATTATGAGGATGAATATACATTTTCTTTGGGTTATCGATTTTCTCTGTTCGTGCATCACCGCTATACATAGCAGCTTACTTGAGGCTTGAATGACTTGATATACGCATCAATGGATATCAGCACAAATGCTTCAAGCTGGTTAAGGGACCTTCATTCAAGGATATGCTTGTTAGTCAATCTATTTTTACAAATGAGCCTAATGGTTGACTCCTGCGGAGGTTTTTGGTTTTCGAAACTGATTTTTGAGTTTGAATGAGCTTGAGTGAGAGTGAAGCGAGGATGTTTTCGTTTGACTTGAGCCGAGTTTTCCATAAAGTGGAAGGAGAGCACTATTTGGCGCCCGGTTTAAAGAACCCGAGGCCCGGTTTTCGGATAGTAGGCCGGGCTGTACGTCTTTGCAGCCCGGTCTGGGTTGAAACCGGGCTGCCTCAACTTTTGTTTCTCTTTTTGCCATCTTTATATCGATGTCTCAATTTTTATGCAAACAGGTTTACACTTTGAGTCCCAAGATAATGAATCTCAAAGTGCACTTGTCAAAAAGCCCCACCAAATGGCTTCATTCTTTGGCTAATCATTCGGGCTAATTTTCATTGATTTGATTGCATAGTCTGAGTCGTACTAAACGTTCCACAATCTTTCTGACCCTATACACACGTTGATATAGCTTCATAAAGTGAGAGACTCTGATAATTTGGATCCATCACAAGAAGATGTATGAGGATTTGGTTGCCAGATGCAAGAAAAACAATCGCCCAAGAGTGGAACGATTGGGCATAGATTGATGGGTATTGAACGGTCAGCACTTGTTTCATTGATGGAGAAGAGATGAGGAAAAATGACAACAAGAACTTACCATTTTTAGATGTGGTGTATTGGGTGGTTTGAGGCTTGTCGAGATTGGGATGGTACTTGTCAACTTCGAGATGAAGGTGAGCGTCAGGCGAGGTCAGGCAACAATTCGTATTGGGTCGATCGAGAGCTCACAGCTCGGTTTCAGGAAATCGGGTTGACTTCAGCAGCCCGTTTTTATGGTTTCACAGCCCGGTTTGTGAAAATCGGGCTGTTGGAGAGTGTTGCGCCCGGAAAAGACTGCGGCTGCGGCAAAATTTGGCTTAGTCGGGTCCGGGTGTGCGCGGAATCTGCGGGTAAAGCCCCAAAGACAACCGGGCCTCGGGTTCTTTAAACCGGGCGCCAAATAGTGCTGTCCAAAGTGGAAATGACCCATGGTGCATGAGTCAGGGCTAAAGACCTAAAAATTAAGTGTTAAAACTCAAACAAAATCATCATTCCAGTACACCACCGGAGGGTTTCGTGTCAGAGAACGGTCTCCCCGGGGCCCAGAATGGTCGGGTCAGTAAATGGCCTGTAGACCGACCCATAGAAGCCCATAAGGGTCTGAGAATGGTCGGGTCCACAGGTGGCCTGTGGACCGATACTCATACGGGCTGTGGGTGGCCGGTAGGCCGTCTCCAAGCAGGCCTAACTTTTCAACAACCTTGCTGAGCCGCCGGCGGTCCACAACAGCCGGCAGACCATTGCGGTGGTACCACAAGCACAAGCAGACTTCACGTTTCTCGCATCACTCCCACAAGCAGACTTCACGTCTCTCGCATCACTCCCCACTCAAACCATGTCAAACGCAGTACCTCAACCACCCCGCGACTCACGTAAGACCTCTTTCTCTTTCTCGTATTCAGAAATACCCAGCCTGAATCCTTCATTTCCAGACGTCACCTTACTTCCGTCTCGGGGTGGCCCTCCAAGGTATCAATGCTTGGTCTGCCAGACACGCTCAATGCAGAACTACGAGAAACATATCAAATCATCAGCACATCGATGTGCAGTGATTGATTACATGGAACAACACTGGATGTTGAAGAACGTCTCCAACAAGCGAACTCTTCAACAAACCAAGATCAATTCCAAGATCAAATTCCCTCTTTGGAGGATGATATTGGACTGGGCAACAATATACACATGAGTTCCCCTCCCCTGCAACCTCCATCACCTCTCACGCTACTTAGGAATTTGCTTGATTCAGACCCACTACACCTGGGGGGTTACGACTCAGATGATTCAGATGACTCTCTGACTTTTGATACACTGCGTCAGGCGTTGGAACAAATTGAACACATCAAACAGATGGAAGAAGTAGATGACGAAGCATTTGAGGAAGCTCTGGAAGAAGAGTTGAGAAGTGGGAAAATTCAAGACGGCATTGATTGGTTCCCGTTCAAGAAGATGGAGGTGACTGTCAACTTCAGATGCATGCAACACCTAATTGATTGCAAGGCAGCTGATTCTCTGTTTGGTAGCATGTGCTTGCTTTACTCCTGATGGGTTCAGAACGTAGTATCCTCTCACGGGATCAATACCTGCGCGTCCGTTTTGTTTTCCGTATTTGTAAGATAGATCTACCCGACTGGGGTGTATTACAAGCTTTGACCGCTTGTATGAAAGTACGAGTTGGCGTGGAGGTTTCTGAACGTATGAGCCCAGAGGGAAAGCCTCTGTTTGGTCTAAAAGTAGAGACGATAATAAGGAACGTGAGTTTACCCAAACTCTTGTTCTTTAGCAATGGGTCATGGTTTGGTTGACTGTGGAATCACTACAGAAATTGGCTAATCCTTTCATTAGTCCACATATGGTCTTTGTTCCGGAGCAAGCGATTAACACACCAATCAACCAATTCTCACAGTGTCAGAAATGGCGAGAAGGTTACGCCCCTGACCTCCGTGTGCAGATGATTGCAACAAACAACCATCACTTTTACATTTATGAGCCTGTTCAGCTTCGCTCTAAACAACTAGTGGTACCTATGTTTTTCTTCCAACTTAATGATACCATCCTAGCGAAATGTATGCCTGCAACTGTTGAATTTGATCCCGAAGAGCCAGCATTTCTCAAAGTATCGGTTTCAGAAGACCCTCCATTTGACTCTCCCGAATTCCTAACTATTAAATGTGATGACTTTTGGAAAACATATGAAGAGATAGAGTTGTACAATGGTTACTTACTCAAAACCAATTGTAGAGACCAGTTGTATTGTAAGACATATGTGCTATTGATGATGATATGAGGTTGATTTCATTTCTTGTTGGCAATCCAATATAGATCGTAACTCTGTCGGGGTGGACTCACATCCTATTGTGAACCATTGGAGAAAAAAAGCGCAAGGGAAAGTCATTCGACATGTCCCAATCACATTATACTCCGACGACACATCTGGAAATGTTTCAAAAAAATGGAACAAGCATATGAGTGTATACTTTACACTGTCAGGCTTATCTCCAGAGCTTACAAACCAGGAGTTTAACATACATTTCTTGGCCACTTCAAACTGTGCATCAGCTCTGGACTTGCTAGACGAAGTTGTTGAGGAAATTAAGTAAGTGTGGTGCATACTTATTGGATTGGCATGTGTCTAACCACCCATTTATGATAACACACCAGTGATCTTGCTGTCAATGGTTTGGTTGCCTACGACCATACCCTTGGGGAAGATGGTTTGGCAATGGTTGTCGTCCTCTGCCACCTCGGTGATTCCCCCATGCACGCCAAAATATCTAACACTTTGAACCCTGCGAACACCCTCACCCCTTGTCGCATGTGTGATCTGCAAGTTAAAAAAATGGTCGATAAACAAACACATAAGTATTTACAGGACTTTCTCGGTTTGGAAGAACAGTGCTGCAAGGTATGAGGTTCCGCTGTCCGTGGTATGATTCCATTGTGCTTTATTCATGTTGGTAATGAAGACAGATTGATATACCCATCCGCAAATGGAGTGAGACCAAACGCATAACACATGCGATTTGGAATACTGGACAAGAAAGACAGACAAAAACGGTTGTTGAGAATATGATTCGAGATTTTGGTGTGAAAGACACGGTGACTGATTTCTTCTTGAAGAAGGTTCAAGTGGCACATGATAGTCTTCCCCCTGAAGAGGTGAAAAGCGTCTGTGATCAATTAAATGCGGGTCTGGGTGAACGGATCTTCAACCCAATGTTGAGGCTGAAAGGTAAGAAAAAAAAATACTCCCAATGATTATTGACATATTCATTATATTGCCTGGTAGGTTTTGATGGCCATGTGGATACCCCGGTGGAGACACTACATGTGGCTCTGCTTGGCATAACGAAAAATCTTTTCCGAGATCTCATGCAAAGTCTTACCTCGACAAAATTTGGATCGCCTTGCTACAACGATATATCTGCCAGGTGGCGATCATTCAATACTAAGGGTTTGAATATACCTCCTATAATACCCAATACCTTGATACAATTCTATCAAAGTCTGGTAGGCAAGGAATTTTGAACCGTGTTGCAGATGGTCCCTTTTGTTCTATTTGATTATATGCCTCCGGAGAAAAGACATGTCTGGACATCTCTCGGGTTGCTAGCTTCATATATATTTCAAACGGAAATACCTGATATGGATGAATATCTAAAGGAATTAGATATCATCATTGATTCGTTTCTACACCTCCTGATCTCTGTTTCAGCACAGTGGGTTAACAAGCCGAAATTCCACATGCTTGTCCATTTGCAATATTTGATACGAAGATTTGGGCCTGCTTGTCTCTTTGCAACCAAAAAGTTTGAGTCTTTTGATGGAGTCCTCCGTCAAGCGTCTGTCCACTCTAATAGCTTAAGCCCTGGCCGCGACATTGCAAACACCTTCACAACAAGGGAAATGATGTGTATGTTCATATGTGGATCTTCCTTCTTCGACAAGGACCTTCTTTGTCGTGTGGTCCCCGGCCCACAGTTGAGGAGCCTGTTTGAAAAATTCCCCGACTTATTTCCAGCAATGCGTCATGAAAAGATCAAAGGGAGGCTTGCCTGTATCAAAATGGGACGTGAGTATGAGTTAAAATGGCGTATGGATGTGACTTCCCTGTTTTCTATTCTGATTTGCATCCTTTTATTTGTCTTCAACAGGTAAAAGTGATTCACAACCTGCAACTCCCCTCCCAATAGGGTTGCCGGTGCTCAACACCGGTAATCCCTGGGAAATTTTTTCAAATGTGACGTTAGAAAACAGGCAAAAGCTAGAACCTAACGATTTTGTACTTGTGAGATCTCCAATCCTTTCCATGCTTAATCATGTATCTTTCAAATGCTGACTGGCTTCCATTCGGATAGCTCACATCCAATGGAATTATAGCTCAAGTGCAATCGATTTGGAAGGTGGAGAATGATGCACCTGTGCAGTCTGTATTACTTCTCAAAAAATGCCTACCGGGGAGTATGATAGTTCATTACGCTATGAGAGAGATACTGGTAACGGATGAAGTGGTATGTAAAAGTGTGAAGGTCAGTCATCACCTCCTTGAATTACCCACAAGCCTTGAACTGACCAAGTTGTTGATCCAAACAGGATGTGGAGCGGATTTTAAATGTTCAGCATAATTGCCATGAAGGGCGCTGTCAAGTGACCAAGACCCACATCCAACGTTTGGAAAGGAAAGAAGCAAAGGAAAAGTTGTATTGTATGACTCATTCTGTCACCAATTCTTTCATTCTCAACTCAGCATCCCACTATAGTGGGGCTGCTCATCGGAGTTTATCAGCATATACATTCCAACGGGTGACACCTGAACAGTGGAATCAGGCTATCACCAAAGGCATCAAAACCTGGGTAGAACAACCTTTCCGTCCAGCAGTCAAGAAGGGAACAGCGAAGAAAGGACCAGCCAAGAAGGGCAAGCAAGGTCCAAGCTCTTCTACAATCAATAATTCTTGAATGTCGTGATACTCTTTTCTTTTTTTCCTATCGTATTCCTGATATGTCTTTGTTAGAAATTATCGATTTCAATACAAAGTAAGAATCAGATTGAACCTTTTTGGAAACATTACACTGTTGTGCCTACTGTTATATAAAAGGTGGCTCAAACATTACAACGCACATTTGAATCTAATTAGTCACATGATTGACAAACATATGACATTGTAAAAGCCGCTTGAGCAAACGCTAGAAGGCCAACTCATCTACATTTGCAAGTAAAGAAAATATGTACACCCAGGCATGGAAAAGCACGAACAAAAAGTAAGAAAAGGAATAACAGTAACAAAAGGAAAACAAAAAGTAAGGAAAGGAAAACATTAAGTAGGAAACTTGTCAACATCATAACAGATTATGAAGTAACCAAATGAAAGTCATCAATCCCTTTCTTCTCAGCTAAGCGGGCCAACTTTTTGCGCGCTTCTTCAGGATAGCCAGTAAGAAGAGTGCTGCGCAATTTGAACCAATCTTCATCACTCAAGTCCCCTCGCATATCATTAACCTCAATGATTCTTTCCACCAAGCGTTTGTTAATTTGGCATGCACAACCAAAACGAGTGATTCGACCTCTTGAGGGGATGACTCGCTCCGAATTATGGTTGTAGGTCTTGGATCCAGCCGTGTGGTGGTGGATTTGGGACGCCCATAGCATTTCGACTACACCGTCACATGCATCATAGTCCACTGTAATGTTATAATCATCCAAAACAAAACATGCACCAACAGAGTCACCTTGAAAAGTATCATTTTTAAGTGAATAAAGTTTTCCAGTCTTGCGATTGATGCGGGTAAAGAAACCAAAGGCATATTTGCTTTCGTCAAAATCCGTATGTTTGGCATTAACAAATTCGTCAAAAGTAACGGCGATGTTCAAGGCAAACACTTGCACATTGGGAGATACGTAAAAAGATTCACCGGCCCAAGAAGGGACCCCAACTTTTGAAGCTAGCTCAGCGTTGGAATTGAAAGCGTAGGAAGATAGGGCGGCAAATCGCTTGGCGTAGAAGTTTTCGATGGCAGGCAGGTTACCTTGACGCACAAGATCCTCTTGCATGCGCCAAAGCTGGCCACTGGTGGTCGCATTGAAAGCATATGCACCTGAGATCAAAATGAAAGGGAAATAAGTAAGATGGCGATGAACATGTGATACTCCAAAGAACTAGCCTGCTTTGGCGATGTGATCATATCTGGGCCTAAAACCGGCCGCGTGCATCTTGCCATATATTTTGGTCAGTGATCGTGCCCTTTTGGCAGCTCCATTGATTGTGACTCTTCCTCATGCTTTCGCATGATGGTAGACTGTGGATATAGCATGGTTGTATTGTTGAAAGAGCCGGTGGTTGGCAGCGGTTTTCTTGACAAATCGGGCAACTAAGAGGAGTTGGCAGGTGTCTTCGTCGAGGCAGACAACGGTACCAAAGTGGATGCGAAACGGTTTGGTTTGGCCTTTCTTGAAAAATAAGAACTTGGTTTCGGGGGGGGTCCGTAAAGTTCTTTTAAAGCTGCAATCTTGGTGGCTCTTTGGTTGGGTGCGGGTTGATTTTTGTTCTTGCGCTCAGCTTTTTGTCGGTCGGAATGTTGTTTGCGACAGCAAAGAGTGCTAGGAGACTTATGCTTTGGTTTCTTATTAACTTCTGCCATGATTTCAGTACTGAAAGCACTTCTCAACCTGTAGCTTCTGGGTTATGCGTCGAGATGAACTCAAGGTTCGAAGCAGGCAGGTTGAGGAAGATGCAATCAGATAGAAATAGGAAAAGATAATAATGGGCCTGGGCCGCTCTTTGCGTAAAGATTTGCGATAAAGGATAATAATAAAGAGATTGTTGATGAGAAAGAGGTGAGGTGAAGCAAAGTAAGATTTTAGAAACGAATAGAATGAAATTTTATATAAATCGAATAATGAATAATCTTTGGAAAGCAGAGAAAAAACCGTAGCGAGACGCTGAGGCCTTCTGAAACATATATCTTAGTCTCAAACCAGGCTACCACATTCATTGCGATGAATGTGGTAGCCTAGTTTGATGTGAGATCGCGATGGCTGCGTGCTTGCAACAGGTTAGTCACCTGTCCCTGAGGTTGGCAGTCAGGTCAGGCTTTACAGCTCATTCAGCTGGTTCGTGACCATCGCTGAGACAAAATCGTCTCAATCGCCATGGCCTAAATCAGCCATCGCGATTCTGATAGCTAAAAGTCAGTGACCAGACCCTGATCAAGCCAGTCAGGACAGGCTTTGTCTCTCAGCCGGTTTGTACCTTTGCCATCGCGTTTCAGAAGCAATCATCTGAAACGCGATGGCCTAACTCAGCCATCGCGATTGTGATGGCTAAAGGTTAGTGTCAGACCCTGATCATGCCGGTCAGGACAGGATTTCGTTCACCTTAAGACCATTCCTGAATTTGCCTGATTCGTATTGATCACAGGGGTTTGTTTCGTTAATGTATGTTAACTCAATTTCATGGAGACGATGATCGCTTGGGTGGGATCCCTAAAAAAATTCCCCAAAAGGTATTTGTTCCAAAACCAATGACAAAGTGATATTCCAACTGCTAATTCCAAACTTATACCCAAAGAGTTATTCATGCAATCTACACCAGGCGCGGCGCACCAAAACCTCGCCAGACTCCTCTGTATGGCTCGATGGAATGTGAAATACGAGAAGGGAGACAAGGTCAATAAACCCCTGCCAAGTCAGACATAAGAATGTGATATACTCACCGTAAGTAATGCCTGAAACTGAACCTTGCGACCTCGCATGGTTCACGGGAGGTGGAATCCATCTCGAACCTTCGGTACTGATTGTGAGTAGGGATCAGCATGTTTCCTACTCACAAGGATCGAGATTGATACAGTTGAAACTCACTTTCCAAGCCGTGATACCAGTTGATCCACATCACAGCTTCGTGAGCGCACGAGGCCATCTGAGCCAACAGAAGGACATTGGGATGAACCATTGCACATATGATGGCCAAAAGGACCTCGTCCGCGATTGCTTCATGAAGTGACGAGAAGTGCAATTTTGACTTGTACAAGTAAACAGGATTTTGTGTGAATCATTGATAATCTTCATTAACCCAGTAGAGCCAGCTCGCATAATTGGAAGCATTGCGTTTTAAGCGAGGCATGGAGTTGGCGTGTTGCTCCATGTTTGAGTGATCCATATAAACGAGCATGTGATCATATTCTTCAAGGTGTTCTCCTTGATTCCATAGTAACTCTAATGTCGCCACCAAGGATGATGACAATCGCGGTGGTTCAATTACGGCGCGTACCATCTTCATTGTGCTAGGACAAGGATTACGAAAAGATATGAATGGGATCTAAGGATGTAAGGATGTAAGGCAAGGTACGTCCGAGCCAGGAGGCATTTGAGACGCAAAGGCCTTTTTGTAAGGACGCGTAATGGCCGTCCTTGCCAATAAGGTGGCCATGATGGGACCTTATTGGACCCACATTGAAAAGGAAAGGAGTGTTTTGGCAAGATATGGTTGGATGCGAGCATATCGAATTGAATGTGGTCCGAGCATATTGAATTGAATGTAGGAATTCTCATTACACTCGTTGGCCATATGACCCAATATCGCCATGGACATCGTTTGAAACTATATAAAGTCAGAGATGGTCTGAAGCAATAAACGCGATATCCAGTATACAAATTGTCGTGTACTGGATCAAAACAACAACAAATGTATGGGGGTATGAACACCTTCATGCCCCCTTCTCCACGTCGATTTGAGAGAAGATCACCGCGTGAAGCGATATTTGAGCGGAAGTCCCCACAGATATCCCCCATTTACGCAGCTGATCCTTATTCACATAATCCACAAATATTATGTTGAGAGATACCTTACACTCTCATTTATGTGTTTCAGCAGTTGTGGTACTTAACTTAGACTTATTAACTCAATATCTCAATATCTCACACGCGCCCATTAAGTTCAAATATAGTTTTGTATTCAATTAAAACCTTAACCCTAATTGCGCCTCCCATTTAATAACGCCACTCCTGGGACGCGTGTACAAACTCTTTTCCTCATCCGTCATTCTACGGAAAGGAAAAGAGTAAGTACTTCACTCAATTCATCATTTCTCATTTCTTCTTATTTCTTTTCTTTCATATTAATATACATAATTAAAATACTGATCAAACTATGTATTCTCACTTTCATATTTCATCTGTTATTCTGCCGACGCTAGTTCAAGAGCTTTAAGCTAAAGCGTCGTCTCTTTTCTTATTTTATTATTGTCTCGACCAAAACCTTCTAGGTTAGCACGTCGAGTATTTGACAAGAGGTGAAGTGAGACTCACCTCAGGATTTGTCATTGGGATAACAGGTTAGCACGTCGAGTATTTGACAAGAGGTGAAGTGAGACTCACCTCAGGATTTGTCATTGGGATAACAGGTATACGACGAGATTTGTCGCTTTTCATGGTAGCGAGAGTCTGGTTCAGCTCCTAGTTAGTCAATTCAAAACGCAAATCTATGTCAGACAGAGAAGATACCAGTGAAGATACCCAACTACCAACACCTGCATCCACCCCAGCTCCAGTTCCAGAGAACGGCAAGATTGACGTCGAATCTCAGATTGAATCAGATAATTCAAGCTCATCCGAAACAGCCCATTCAGCTCATACCACCGTCCCATCACATCCTATTACTGCGCCAGCCATGGCCACCACCACTCCTATTGACACTGATACCCCAGCTCAACGCCAGTCAATCAAAGTGACTTCGATCCTGCACAAAATAGCCATAACTACTAAATTGTCCACCTCGAACTATGTTTCCTGGTCCGATGGTGTTCGTTTTGGTCTCATGGCCGCATCATACGACATATATCTTGATTCTGAAGATGCAGGCAGCTCAGGAATCGATCCCGAAGTAATCCTTGCGACAAAGAAATCACTCTTTCACTGGTTACTTGCCAGTATAGAGCCAGCAGAGTCCACTCGATTTATATCAATGATTTCCACATTCGAGAACGGCATCAAGACTACTATTCCATCTCCATGCCTGCTCTGGAAAACTATTCGCGATTACCACATCAGTAACTCTGAATCGGTCAAACTCATGCTCCGGAGCGAAATCACCGACTTGAGTCAAGGATCTACCAAGGATCTCCTTGAGTACATCGACATCTTTAGAGCCAAAGTAGATGCTTACCTTGGATCCAATGGAGAAATGTCTGAAGAAGAGCAAGCTCGCCAATTTGTTAGATCACTTAACCGTGAGTGGGCGGAAAAGGGATGCGACCTCCTTGATGCTGGGCATGTCAAATTCCGAGCGTTAGAAACCGAGCTGAAGAAGACCTATCAAACTCGGAAGATGTTCACCTCCAATCGACAACAATCTAGTCGCGCTGCCGAATCAACCGAAGCAAGTCACGGCCGACGTAATGGAAGATGGCAAACTTGTAACAAGAACAAGTGCCTCGGTCGAGATCACCCTACGAAACCTCATGATCAATCCGAGTGCTTTCATCATCCCAGAAACGCGACTAAGATGGACGATTGGAAACGCTCAAAGCGCGAGGCTGGTGAATGGGTAGATTATCCTAGAGGAAACCAAGGAGCTGGGTCACGAGGTAGAGGAAGAGGCGGCTCAAACATGGCTAGTGGCTTTATGTCTCATCGATATTTCAACGATCAAAACTTTCCAAGCTCAAATGATATATCCTCAGCCTTAGAAAACATGAGACTCGAAGATAGAGACGTTAGTTATCATATTGAAGTAGACGGCAAATTCTCATGCTCTGCTGAACCGCAGGTTTCATGTCGTGGAGACCAATGTAACACCATCGCCTTAATTGATACCGGAGCATCTCATCACATGTTTCATGATCTATCATTATTTGATCCGGACTCAATATACAAAAATGACGATCCGTCTGCAAAACTCAGTCTAGCAGGTGGAGGAGCGACCTTAGAAATTCATTCGATGGGAAGAGTTAACCTATTAAACTCAAAAGGCGAACTTATCAAACTAGCGGATTGCCTTTATGTTCCTCAACTTTCAAGAAACCTCATCGCCGGTGGTAGAATTCTCAGAGCTGGTGGAGTCACCACCATCCTCAAGGATCCAAATTTTCGAATCGATCATGGCAAAAAGGAACTGTTTGTCGGTCAATTTGTTGGAGAAGGATGCATGATGTATGTAAGACTACAACCATCGGTCAGTCCTACATTTCATCAATCATTGGCGGCGAGCTCAAATTAACTCATCATTCTGAAATTGCACTATTCCTTAGGCCATCCAAGCGGGGAATATCTAAAGAGAATGTGGAGGATGGGTTATTTCGATGATATCTTACCACAAAATGTTTCTACCTCAGATTTTGAAATAATAAACAAATGTCCTATCTGCCCCCTTTCCAAAAGTACTCGTCTTCCTTTCTCATCAGCCAGACCCAGAGCCATTACCTTCTTAGAAAACGTCCATGTTGATCTTAGTGGAATTGTTCGAACTACATCAATCAATCGAGAAGAGTATTATATCATGTTTACCGACGACTTCAGCGGTTATCGTGTTACCTTTGGTATTCCTGATAAAAAAGCCGAAACCGTATATGAATGTTTCAAGCGTTACTTAGCTTACGCTGAAAGGCAAACAGGAGAGAAATTGAAGAAATTCTCGTTAGATGGAGGGGGCGAGTTCATCAACGGATTACTGTCCCCATATCTGGAGGAATTAGGCATCATCACTAGGATCACCGCTCCTCACACCCCAGAGCAAAACGGAGTTGCCGAACGTGGTAACCGAACCATCAACACTAAAGCCCGATGCATGATGATCCAGTCGGGTGCCCCCATTTCTTTTTGGTATCATGCCATATCGTATTCTGTGATGTTACAGAATCGAACAATAACAACATCACTTGATCTTAAACACACACCTCATGAACTATGGAATAAGCGGAAAACAAGTGTTAAACGATTCCAACCTTTTGGATGCTTAGCTTATCGGCATATCAGAAAGGAAATCCGAAATGGAAAATTCAGTCATGTCGCACAACCCGGCATTCTTTTAGGAGCCACCGAAGAGAATAATAACTTCATAATTCTCGATCAAGAAACAAACAAAATTCATATCACTCATGATGTCGCTTTTCAACCTCTAATATTCCCTTTTAAAAAGGATGCCGATAAGAATCCAGAATGGATTTTTATCGAAGATCTCCCTAAGACTATCAGGGATGATATCATTCAAGATGAACCCATCATCGATCATCCTAATAGACCTCAGATTGATGATGACGATGAGATTTCAATGGATATGGGTTGTCTCACCCCACCTTCCAATGAATCCCCTAGCCCCTCAAGCGAACAACATGAGGATGCTATACCTGAACCACAAATCATAGATCCAATCATCAACGAACCAGTAATTGCTGAACAATAACCACCAGCTCAACAACAGCCGAGAAGATCGGCTCGTGATCGACGGCCTGTAGATCGTTACATTCCTGGTGAAAGTAACGAAATTGTCAACTTCCCGATGCGAAGTATTGTACCCAAGATTTCTCAACCCTCCTTCAGTCAATACGTATTTCAATGTCACGAAGCAATGAAAGCTCGAGCAGAACCAAAGAGTTACAAAATGGCTATGAAGACACCCGAAGCCGCTCAATGGAAAGCCGCATGCGACAAAGAAATGAAAAACATACAAGAAATGGGAGTCTGGGAAATTGTAGATCATCCTAAGAATGCCCCGGTTGTTGGAGGCCAATGGATTTTTAAGCTGAAACTCCGTCCTGACGGTACCATCTCAAAGCACAAAGCAAGATATGTCGCCAAAGGTTATACACAGACCGAAGGGATTGATTTCAATGAGACATTTGCACCGACCGGTCGGCTTGCTTCGTTACGTATCCTGGTCGCTGTTGCTGCTGCTAAAGGATGGTCAATTGAGCAAATGGACGCGATAGCGGCTTTTCTGAATAGTAACTTACAAGAAGAAATTTACTTGGAACTACCAGAAGGTTATGATGCTGAACGTGCAAATGGGAAAGTCGCTCGTTTAAGGAAAGCACTCTATGGTCTCAAGCAATCCGCTCGATGTTGGAGTAAAGAAGTTGAGGAGAAATTTATCAGCATAGGTTTGAAACAAAACCCTCATGATGCTTGTTTGTGGTATGGATGTGATGAGGATGGACTCGAGACTCTAATCTATCTACATGTTGACGACATGGCCATCACGGGTGACAAAGTTCCTGAAATCAAAAGTTTATTAAAATTAAAATGGCAAATGGAAGACTTAGGACCCGCACACTGTGTTGTGGGGATTGAAATTCATTCAACTGATGCTGGAGGATACTCATTAAGCCAACCGTCATTCATTCAAACTGTTCTTGAAAGATTTAACTGTGATGAATGCAAACCAGCATCAACACCATTCCCTGGTGGGACAAAGATTTTGAAAGCAAGCGAGTCAGATGTGGAAGACTTCAAGAAATCAAATCTACCATACAATAGCTTAGTAGGAAGTCTCATGTATATTGCTCAAGGTACCCGTCCTGATATAGCATATGCAGTTGGCGCCCTGTCCCAACATCTATCCCGACCATCAACAACAGCCTGGCAGATGGGTATCCACGTACTCCGATATCTAAAAGGCACACAATCTTTGGGTTTAATCTACTCTCCAAAGGACAACATCATTGAAGGTAATCAGAGCTGGTGTTATCCTGAATGTCACACCGATTCCGATTGGGCCGGGGATCCCAATACCAGGCGCTCAACCACCGGATACGTTTTCAAATTGAATGGAGCGGCTGTCAGCTGGAAAGGCCGTTTGCAGCCAACGGTTTCACTATCTTCCACTGAAGCGGAATATAAGGCCACCACTGAAGCGGGTCAAGAAGTGGTATGGTTGCGAGGATTACTGTTGAACATATCAATGAATCAACCTTCTGCAACAATTTTATGCAGTGATAGCACTGGGGCAGTCTCATTAACTCAAAAATCAATATTTCATGCTAGAACAAAGCATATTGAAGTACAGTATCATTGGATAAGAGAACAAGTTGAGAAGGGCACCATCAAACTACGTCACATTAGTAATAAAAACATGTTTGCTGATGCATTAACAAAACCACTCCACCCGGGACCATTCCGAGAACTTCGAGATCAAGTTGGATTAGATGTGGTATTGGGACAGCTGAAACAGGGGGCGTGTTGAGAGATACCTTACACTCTCATTTATGTGTTTCAGCAGTTGTGGTACTTAACTTAGACTTATTAACTCAATATCTCAATATCTCACACGCGCCCATTAAGTTCAAATATAGTTTTGTATTCAATTAAAACCTTAACCCTAATTGCGCCTCCCATTTAATAACGCCACTCCTGGGACGCGTGTACAAACTCTTTTCCTCATCCGTCATTCTACGGAAAGGAAAAGAGTAAGTACTTCACTCAATTCATCATTTCTCATTTCTTCTTATTTCTTTTCTTTCATATTAATATACATAATTAAAATACTGATCAAACTATGTATTCTCACTTTCATATTTCATCTGTTATTCTGCCGACGCTAGTTCAAGAGCTTTAAGCTAAAGCGTCGTCTCTTTTCTTATTTTATTATTGTCTCGACCAAAACCTTCTAGGTTAGCACGTCGAGTATTTGACAAGAGGTGAAGTGAGACTCACCTCAGGATTTGTCATTGGGATAACAGGTTAGCACGTCGAGTATTTGACAAGAGGTGAAGTGAGACTCACCTCAGGATTTGTCATTGGGATAACAGGTATACGACGAGATTTGTCGCTTTTCATATTAAACAATCGAAATGATTAACCAGCTATTCGTTTTCATGGATATCATACGCATGATATGGGTTCGGATCTTGTTTGGGATTCAGAGGGTGGCTGTTCTACGTTTAAAAACAAATTGATCCACCAGATTTGTTTGTGATCCAAGATTAACGGATCACAAACAAATATTGTGATAATCAAAGTATTCCATAATGAGAGCGAAATGCTCCATCTACCATTTGACAAATCAGCCCATAAAGGTCAAATATGCTATTTCGACGTCATTAAAGAGAAGGCATCATATCAAAAAGAGCATGATCATTGCATTCCTGCATTTTCCAAAGGGCTCTCCGGCGTCATAAATCAAAAATCTCAATGTACATTTTGGTGAAACTGATCTGTCTTTGTGGCATCCTCTGCTGACTGAACTCTGACATCAATGTGTGGAGTGGAATGTTCAGCTCCAATATTTTGAATACAAACACGTCATGTTGTGCGTGATAGTGTGAACCACTCTTATTATGACAGCACCTTGAATTCCCACAAAGAAAGGCCAAGGAAGCATTCCATTTCAAGCCACGACAACACTTCGCAATTTTGATGTCCCCTTGCGCCCAAAATTTTTTTCTTTGCCGTCTTTTGTTCTCCGCACTGTTTTTCCCCCTCACTTCTCTGCTTGAAATTTTTACGATGCCCATTTTACCAACCTCAGTTAGTAAGTGAACCATTCTTGATTTTAGAGAGCAGCAGCAGGGTGCTCATCAAGGCTGGCTTACAGCTGAACGTATGAGTCCATACTCACGTGGGCCACCACCTAATAGCCGTTCTCCCTCTGTGGCTCTTTTGCTCCGATCTCTAAACAACCACGGTGCTCTACAAAATTGTTCAGGTGAGTAACATGTTTATTAGGTCTATTCAGATCACTTTCTCACTTCCACTTCAATGCAAGGGTCGCCGTCGGCCCTTGAAGTTGGGCCCAATAACCGTGCGCTACAGAGCATTGTTCCGGGCATGGGCAATACCCCGTCTCAAAGCTCCCAAAACAACATTTCAGGCACGCCTTCAACCCAGGGTGCGATATCTAACCTGGGTATCCAGCCGATGTCTCCAGACCATAGTGGCAACGAACTTGAAGCCAATCACCTTGGTGGTGAACGAGAAGATCAGGCTTTAACCGACATCGCACGACCTCTTACTGCCTCTGAACAAGCCTTCTTGCAAGCCTTGTCCACCGAGTGTGGATTGGATGAACATCACCAGGATTACGTCCAGACGCTAGCTTGGGTCAGTTCCCGATTCCAGTTATTCTACCGTCTCAAATCCAAAGATCACATTAACAAGAGAAATAACAGTTTATCAGTCCTCGTCATCGTCATATCACACTTATCGCCTCTCATGCGGGTTTGCTCATGGAGCAAAGCAACCTTTCCATGAGGGTGACCGGCCTTGTCGAGACTATCACCGGCCTTGTCAAGACTGTGACCGGACTTGCCGACACTGTTCAAGCACTTGCCGATGAGATACGCACTCCAGGCTTGGTTGCTGCCCGCGCGGTGCCTGCTCCAGTCACTGGTGGTCCGACTCCTGCTTCAGCTGCGAGCTCCAACGCCGCGGCGCCCACCACCCCATGGGTTGCCTCGTCATTGCTACTGGTGGGATAGAATTGCTTTCTGATAAGATAATATCTTATCACTTTCTCTTTCGTTGATATCCAAATTTGATCTTCGAACACCCGCAGGATGCAATCTCCCAATTGGCAGACAAGAAGGTTACATTGCCCTTGCTCGAGGGATACACCGCACTCAAAGCTGCGAATGGTGTCACCCTTACCAATTCTCTCTTCAATATTGTGAAGGTAAATTAATTCACACATCATGATACAAGCCCTTACCCAAATTGACCAGAACCTACATACCAGCTTGAGTTAGCCAAGAAACCTGCGGCCTGGAAGGACGAACACCTGCCACGCAAAGTACTAGGGATAACCGATTCCCAGGGTGTCAAGCAATACTATACTGACATCAAGAATGGATGCAAACACGCTCGAGGGAAAATGCACAATTCAGTGAGTTTTACGCAAAATCCCATCAGGTCAGGCAATTGACCTGCTCTATCCTCGCAGGTCTTAAGTGGGGTGTATGAGTCAAAAGCCGGCGTCATACTTACCAACCCCGTGCCCGATCTCCCGGAACTTGTGTTCATTGTCAGTATATGTTGATTTATTATGATGAAACAATCACTTACTGAATCAAGAATTCCAGATTGCCGAGAAATGTGGAACCACAGGTCACCACCCAGACGTCAATAGCTAATTATGGGAAGCCACTGATCATTTTACCCGTGCGCAAGCGGCTTACATCGTAAGCCAAAATATTTGACATTGCTATCTATCTATCACCGACCCTGACTCAGTTGTGTATCTACCACAAATGAAGCGACGAGAGGCCCTTCGCATCTTCCAGATTGGGAAGGGGCCTACTTCAATATGGGCGGCTGTTGACAAACAGCTTGAAAAGCTTCTTCGGGAGGAAAGGAATCGCATGGGAAAAGATGGTTATACTTCTGGAGATTACACTGCCTCGTGTGTATCTTTTCTCTATCATCAATACGGACTGGTCGTCACTTATACTGAATCAAAGAACGGGTCCAGGTTCTATAAGGTTGTATATGACCAAGACCGCGATTATTTCACGGGCAAGACCTTATTTCAAGACTTGATTAAGTTATACTCATTTGAATTGCCATCCGAAGATCAAATCGAAGCAGGGATTGCACCAACGCCAACGCAAAACGTCGAACAAATGGAGCTTAATGAAGAAGGCTTGATGGATATCTAATTTCTTTTTCCAACAATCTTGTGACCAAAGTGCATTCTTTTAGGTTACATACAAATAATGTCTTCATACAAATAGTGTCCTTTTTGCAATCTTATATCGTGGCTTTTGTTTCTTGTCAAAGCTTTAGTAAGAGTGGAGAGAGAGCGCATTAGTGCATTACAATGCGAACGTGCCTCGTTGGGCAGCTCGCCGCCCCATATGCCATTGGCGGCGCGTCCTCGCCGCGCCATTCAAACATTTCATAACCCGTCTTGAGGTGGCCTGAGCTGGTCTGCGAACAGGTGCCAGAGTCGACCGTAAGGGTATGTGTGAGGGCCGCCTGCAGAGGCCTATTGGCCGCCTACAGACCGGTTTCAGACTCGGCATCAAAATGGCTCGAAAAGGTCATTTCCATGGTCGACCTTCAGACCGTCTTCCACAGCGGGAGCGCAGCCGGTCCTCAGACGGTCTTCGCTGCCGGTCTCAAGACCGGCCAAACCCTCCGGTGGTGTACACTTAGGTCGAATTTTCACGTGCATGTGGAAAGACTTTGACGACAAAGAGCATGTGGATGTTTTCTCAAGATATGTTTGGGGTTGTGGTGTCTTTCTGGGACCTAATCATTTGTTTTAATGAATCGACATGTGCATTCATAGCCAAGTTGAAACTTCCAAGAGCCCTCATGAAACATTAGATCCTCCTAGGTAAATTGTCAATTCCTCTTCACACACATGATTGTACTAGTATTGACATAATGAATTTTAATTTTCTACTATACTTTTTGATAATATATCTTTGTATGAGACACAAAATTTAACCCGACTATGGGGAAGTGCAGCCCAGAATTAAACTTGTGTGCCTCTCACACTCAAGGATGGCTTTTCACCGTGATTGAGAATCTCGTTTGCAAATAGATAGAGAGCGAGGAATCCTACAAGGACGACACATGTGATGAGAAGAAGTAGAGGATGATAAAAGACACTTTCAAAGGTAAGAAGACTAAGATCAGAACACCAAGGATTACCATCATTTTTCTGGAAACATGATTAAAATTTCCGCCATGATCTGATTGGATTGTGAAGTCCCTTTCAAGCATCCACCCTTTCTTTGTACAATGATAGTGGCTGATGAACTTGTGCATCGTAGATCAGGTTTTTCTATCTAGACAAAAACTCGTTCTGCATCACTGTTGTTGGAATTGTGGTTCAGAGACAATTTCATTTGATCAAGATAATTCTCCACAGGCGTAGGGCTGCTTGCACCATCATGCTACAGATGGAACATCTGTACTTAATGTGTACCACAAACTTACAGGATTTTGTGGCAGTTTTACTACTACCCACTTTGCAAAGATCAACTTTGTGAATATCGGGAAAAAACACCAAAAGCTATCTCAAGTGGTAATGTTCATATTCCCTTGTTGTATTCAAAATTCATATATACTACAAAGTAACTTACGAGGATTGGGAGGATGTATTTATAACATGATCTCACTTTGCCGAGATCAACTTTGTGTAGATCGAGAAAAAACCCCAAAAATTAACATTCCAAGTAAAGAGTCTGATTGATACGCCACGGGCAGAAATAAAAGATAATAAAGATAATAAAATATAACCAATAAGAGCATTGTTCTTGAGACGAGTTTTATGGATGATAATTAATAAACAATTTTCAATTTTACACCAAACACGGATCAATACCTAAGATGATTCAAGAAAATATGTAGAAAAGAACGGTTCATGAAAGAGAGTATAGAGAAGTTTAAGAAGAAAAGCCATTCATTTCGATCCCCGACGTCCTGTAATCAAATCATCGAGCATAAGAAAAACAAACATGAAAGACAAGAATAGAAAGCGAGGACATACCATCGGGAGAACGAGATCTAGCTTTGCTTCTTTTTTTGCGAATAGATCTAGGAATAACCATAAGGAAGGCAGGGTCTTGTTGGCCATATCGAGGAGGTAAATTTGTAACATGAAGTCCAGTAGGAGGAGTGATAACAATATCAGGAATAGGAGGAGTAACAATGATGATGGGAATAGAAGAAGGGGGAAAGTCATCAAGGTCTTGATCGAAGTTGATGATTTCGTTGGCGAAGAAACAAAAAGCTAAAAATCCTGCAAGGATAGAAAGGATGAGAAGAAATAGACAGATCATGAAAGTCACCTCTGAAGGTAAGAAAGCTAAGATCATGACACCAATGATTACTACCAGTCTAAACTTCTTTGGGAAAAGCAAGTGGACGATGACGAATAGTAGAATGGTGGGTAAAACGTAAATCAAGAGTATTTGAAAGAGCTTATGGTAGAGTAGTGAAGAATTCATGATGAGAAAGTGGATTGATTAGAAGACAAGAAGGTGAAAAGATGAGAGTGAAGTTGTTCGAGATTTGAAAAGAATCAATCAGTTCGAGATGGTAGAAGTGATGAAATGTCACAAAAGCTCTTGGGCTGAAGAGAAGGTTTAAATACTTCATCCCATGCTGATCGCAAGCTGATCAGCTTTTTCAAATGTAACATTATTATTATGCTCAAAATGAAATGTGAATGATTTCTTCAACATTCCAATCAATTTGTAAAATCGCTTTCAAAGATCCATTATCAGTACAGTCTCTAATGCTGATTAGTACAAGCATTAAAGACTAGGTTTTTTATTTGGACACAACAAATTTTGATCTGTATCTCCATTGTTTATAATGTTGTTGTTTGTAAACAAGTGTATCTTGATTCAAAAATTTCCTCAGCCGTCGTGGTTTACGACCACCTCTGACAGGAAGACTTTTGTACGTCCGAGTGCTGCTACGTCGAAGGTCAAAGCAATCAGCTCACCATTTACATAAAGATTCCCCAGAAATATGGGTTCAACCAAGAGAGCAAGTCTCATGATCAAACTGCTTCAAAAATGTGAAATCTATGAATGGTGATCCCCTTTTGATTTTTTTAGTTGTTTCACATTAACTTCGATAGGTGCCTACAAACAAAAGATAAAAGAGCGGGAATTCGATAAGAACTCTATTTACGTTTTGTTTTTATTGTACAACTTTCTCATGAGTAGACCGAGGATAAGCAAACAGAAGGTTGTTCAAAAGTTCTGCAGGTGTGCTCAAAGACTCCAGTCCCTATAAGATTGAACTATAGCGAGAAACCTATGGACAATCGCCAAAGAGGACGTTTGCTGAAGGAATTCTACTGTAAGTCTCTGAGACTTGCCGTGCAAGAAATCACCGAATTTTGGTAGTCCTCCCAAGAGGTAATTGGCCGGTTGGAGTCACTTTGTCTTCAACAGGCCGCACGGAAATCAGACCTTTCGGCCCCAATCTGGCGAGGCGTGTCGTATCAGGTATTAGCATCTGAACGTAGCTACCAAAATGTACTTTCCAGCTAATCTCTCCTGGTGATACCAATACCAATATGATATACACCCGCATACAACCATTGGGACTTTGGGGAAAACTCTTTATTTTCCCCAACCTCTGCTTCCTACGCTGCTATGTACTGTTCAAGTGCAACTGCTATCTCATCAGGCTTGTCCGATCCTTCGGGTGCAAGACTTCAGTAAATTGTTTCATCCGACTCAACACATATATTTTACTTCAAGAGCCGGGCATTTTTCTGTTGTTATCAATTGGATCAATGGATGTAGGCACAGCCAAGAAGATGCCGTCAAAGAGCGATAAACTTGAAGTTATATATATTGGAAGTGCCACGTTGAATCTCTGTCCGAACATCGTAATTTGTGATGAGCCGTAAATTTTCTGAATGCGAGCCTCCAATCAAACCTGTGGTGGTTGTTCGATCATCCGTATGATTGAAGTTCGTAAACACAATGCAACTTCCATAAAATGGGCATATCTAACTTCGAATGAGCATGAGGAGGACTCAAAGCCTAGAGGGTAGTTTCAATCAAGTGAAGGATGGTTTGAGTCTAGGGCTAAAAGCTTAAAAATTTAGTGTTACGTGAGGCGAGTTCTGAGTCCTGACTGGCATAGAGGGCTTGTCGAAAAGTCTTGGGCCTACTTAATCACAAAATATCCCCACACACAAAATGAGGAAGAAACCAACGCATTGGTTTATTGTAGCTATCTCCTCCATTGATTTTGATCCCTACATGATACCTGTAGCGTGTGTCCAAGTGCAGCCAAGTGAACCAGGTAAGTGATTCTGAAGTAGAGCTGAATTCGATCAAAGCCCTTCCAAGGGATCTTTCGTTAGAAAAGATATCGTTCATTGAACATAGTTGACACTTGATCTGACTCTCCAAGACGTCACATTGATGAGATTGATCATAACGAGGTATTGAAGTGTCATCATGCATCCTGTTATGGGGGTTTATATACAGAGCTTCGTATCATTCTGCTATCTGTCTAACTAGGAGTGCCAACACCTTCTCCGTGACTTTGAACAGTGGAAAAGCTCTGGTCATCAAGCGTACTCAGTCAAAAGGTACATAAATCTAACCATGAAACAAACCAGTCTGGGAGAGGCTGATGTCTATACACCTCAAGTAGCTCAGAGATATGCCAAAGAGTTTTACTAGACTACATACCTCACTTCAAAGGAGACCCAACGAAATGATCAGTTTCCAAAGATGGCGCAGGAATGCTATCAAAAACTTAGTACTCTCAAGTCATCCAGCTGTTATCTACAGAACAAATCTTTACCGAAAACACCACATGTAATAAAAAAATCCATATAAAAAATATATCGGTCACTCCTCTGCAAAACCTCGTGAGCATTTCTTTCATCAAAGAAAGTGGCTTGGTTGCGCAGCGGTCCTTATCGGAGAGTGCGCAACAAAACCCAAGGGTTCAGAATCCGTTGTGTTTTGCGGCGGTTCCGGTATTGATGAGGGATTCTTGATTCAACACTGGATTGATTGATTTCAAGATGAAAGGTGAAGTAAGGTGAAGAGAAGGTAGTGCGGATCAAGCAAGACAAAGCTTTGTCACTATATAAGATTTTAAATACCTTATCTCATGCTGATTGTAATCACCTCAGCGTTGGAAAATGAACATCATTTCAACTTGAGATGCTTCATTTACACCATGTTTTGATCAAATTTAGAAGTCAATTTTAAGGATACATAAAGTCTCTTGGTGATATAAGTACTGCTTTTGATGTTCATGACTTCATACACGAAAGATTGATTTGTTGGTTTGGACTCAATGCTCAATATTCAGTGCTATCGCTGCTATCATGGGGTGGAGACAGCTTTATTTTCATCCAAGAGCAACCCCATATAGTGTTGTGTATTGTCTCATGATCCTCAAATCTGGGATTTCAGTGCGTAATGTGTAGCACAAATCGGTTTATGAGAATTTGAAGGATATCTTTACTATACTATCTCGCTTTGTAAAGATTAACTTGATGAAGAGCGAGAAAAAACCCCAAATTTATTATATTCAAGTAATGAGCCCCATCTCGACACGACCAATAAAAAAACGGAAGAACAATTAGATATGATGGATAAAAACGTTCTTTTTTTAGCTTTGATAGAAAGCAAACTGTGAATTTTAATTTTATATGAAACATTGAAGAAACACTGAAGAATAACCACAAGCCAAATTCAACGAGAGTGTTATGAATCCACAATAAGAACGCTCCAATCGACCGTAAACCAACAAATTCTGTGATGGAAAGAGGAAAAGTAAATCAGAGTTGATCTGGAACTTGAGTTAAAGTATACAAGAATCAGAATTAGAAACATACCTAAAAGTAATCAAGAAAAGACCCAGCGAATTCCATGAAAGAGTGTATTCAAAAAAACATAAAACAAAGCCATCCATCTTGATCCTGGCCGCCCTACAATCAAATCATCGAATATAAGCAAAAAGAAAAACAAAAGAAAATATTGAAAATCAAGGACATACCATTTGGAGCGCTAGGTCTAGGTCCAGGTCTAGGTCTAGTTTTGCTCTTTCTTTTTGTTCGAATAGACTTACGAATGACCATAAGAAAGGCCGGATCTTGTTGGTAATATCCAGGAGGTAGGTTTGTAACATGAGGTTTGGTAGGAGGAGTGATAACGATGACAGGAATAGGAGGAGTAGCAATGACAATGGGAATAGAAGAAGGAGGAAAGTCATCAAAGCCTAGATCGAAGTTGATGATTTTGTTGGCGAAGAAACAAAAAGCTAAGAATCCTGCAAGGATAGAAAAGATGAGAAGAAATAGACAGATTATGAAGGTCGCCTCTGAAGGTAAGAAAGCTAAGATCATAACACCAATGATTACTACTAGTCGAAATTTCTTTGGGAAAAGCAAGTGGACGATGAAGAATAGTAGAATGATAGGTAAAACGTAAATCAAGAGTATTTCAAAGAGACTATGGTAGAGTAGTGAAGGATTCATGATGAGAGAATGGATTGATTGACTGAAAGATTAAAAGTAAAGGTAAAGGGGAAGGAGAAGTTCGATAAATAAAAAGACCCAAAGTTTTGAGACGGTAGAGGTGATGGGAAGACTGAAAGATTTTCGATCAAAGAAACGGGTCAAATACCCCGTCTCACGCTGATCGTAAGCTGATCAGCTTTTTCAACTGTAGCATTATTCTTATGCTTCAAATGAAATGTCATTCATTTCTACCATGTTCCGATCAATTTCTTAAGTACCTTTCAAGTATTTATTAACCCCTTTCACAATATTTGTAAAGCCTCTCATACTGATTTGTGCAAGCATTCAAGACCGAGTTTTTTATTTGAACTCAACAAATTTCGATCTGTATTCCCATTTTTCTCGATATTGTTGTTTCTAAACAAGTATATTTCAATCCAAAAACGAATCCTCAGCGAACATTGCATCTGTTCAAGATCACTTCGGACAGAAACAAATATTCAGCTTGGATCTGCTCAGGTAATGTCTCTGACTTCTGAGTCTCACGCTATACATTCAAGTGCTGCTACCCCAAAGCTAAAGAATTCAATGTCTACTGATAATGATAACTACACCCCGAGATTATCCACAATGTTTCCTCTGAAATATTGTAAGATATCAGCTCAATAGTTACGAAGATTCCCCAGGAATATAGGTGTTACCAAGAAAGTGAGACCAATGGTCCAATTGCTTCAAAAATGTAGAACGTTAGAGTGGAGCTCCCCTTTCAAATATTTCTTTGATTGTTTCACACTGACTTCGATAGGTGTCTACAAACAAGTGATAAAAGAGCAGAAATTCGACGCCAGATGGGTGTTCAATTGACACACTGTTTTGTTCTGATGGGTTCAACCAAGGAAGTCAGACCCACTATCGAAGCAATCCGATCATGGGGGGAGCAATTCAAAAAATGTAGAATTCTTTCGTAGTTTTGAAAGCTTTTGTATTTGTTTCGCATTGACTTCGATAGTAGTCCACCAGCAAAAGATAAAAGAGCAGAATTGGATGACAAAGGAGACTGCCTTGTAGACCCATTGTTTTCTTTTTACAACTTTCTCATGAGTAGACCGCGGATACAAAAGCAGGGGTTTGTTCGATAGTTTTGTATGAGCGCTTAAAGACTTCAGTACTGTAAGCTTGCGCGAGGAGGAAACCCAATGAGTAATTCCAAAAAAAGATGGGTTGATCAATGAAGTCTACTCTGACTCTTCTAGTCTCGCCGTGCAAGAAATCCGTACTTTTTGTGGTCCTCGTAAGACGTAAGTGACCGGGGTGGGATGAGCCGGACTTCAACAGACGGTACGGCAATTGGTCCATTCTGCTCCCATCTTGTGTGTCGTATCAGGTAGCATTTGAACGTAGTTACTAATAGGAACTTTCCAGCTAATCTTTCCCAATAACCTGTGCAGCGTAAAACACTGGTGGCATGAGATGTGTTGCTCTGGGGGAAACGATCCATCTTGCTTTTCCCTCTCCTGCCTTCCGTGCTCATATGTGTGCACATGTCATCAGGCTAGTTCCACCCTTGGGAACAAGACTCCAAGTCATCCGGGTGAACTTAAGAGCCGGGTATTTTTATGTTGTTATCGCTTTGTAGGACGGCAGATGTAGACGAAGATACGAGGATATCGTCCAAAACTTAAAGCGATGGAGATATAGGTATATGCTGAGAGTGACATTTGGGATCTCTGTCCGAACGTAGCCATTTGTGACATGGGCCTTGTATTTTCTTGATGTAAGCCTCCAATCGAACATGTTTTTGTTGAATCATTTGTTTGATTGAATTTCGTACACAGCTTCCAGAAACTTGGGCATCTCTAGGGCTTGAATGAGCTTGAGGAGGACTCAGAGAGGGTATTATGGATCTCGTCTCGATTGAGTTGAGTTGAGTGTAAAGTGAGGATGGTGTGGCCCGCGAGTCAGTCTGAGTTCCTGAGTTAGGGCTAAAAAGTTTCTAAATTTTTCATCAACTTCAACTTCCTTGTTTTCTTTCTTCATCCATGTTTTTATAGTCGTCGATTGTTATTCACAAGTGCTCAGCCATCAAATTTATTCATACCTTCATTAACTTCCACATCTATGATCCGACGTCTTCAAACCCGAAACAGTTCAAGATCACTTCAGCAGTCGAATTCATCATTCACTCTATGTACCTCAATCAATTCGTCTCCTCATGGAATTATCTGAATCATGGCCATCGCAAACTTGTGTGGCCAATCAAACATTCGCTGGAGCTAGGTTAAAGTACAATCAAAACCAATTTAATCATTCGGAACCTCGTTTAGATTTCGAATTTGCAAGACAGAAAAGTGAACGTAAGTCAATCCAATCTATATAAAACTTGGCAAGGTTTACTTGGTCACTGACTGTCGTTTCCATCTCGGCTAAACAGTGTTTACTCGACCGCAGGTTCCCTTACTTCAGACGTTTCCTCCTCCAGTCAATAAGACAGATGTACCGGAAAATACGGACTCGTATCGATTGTTAGTCTCAGCTGTGAGTCTATCACACATCCTTCTGATCGAATCATCGAAGAAAAAGATGTTTATCAGTTCCAATCAATGGGGTTTTCTAATTTAGAATGGATATTTACGTGAATGTTACCCTGAAGTGGATCTACCGAAAGAAGTGTTATTATCACATATAATGGAAGATCAAGATCAAGCAATATCTGATGAAATTAGTTCAGCTTCAAAATTGATCGGGTTTTCTATAGGAGATCAAACCAGTGTTTTTATCAGTACAGGTGGTCCTTCATCTAACGAGTTATGTAAGCTTTAACTTTTTTCTTTTGATAATTTTCTTGCATAAAGTTAAAACTTATGCCTCTCCTTTATTTTTTCTTTTTGGATATGTTTAGATTGTTCTGTTATGAGATATCCATTTGAGAATGATTCTAGTTCGATTCCGGTTCCTACGTTTATTGCTACTGCTAAACCTATTATCACTTTTCCAACTCCTATCTTGCAATTGGCAAATGGTCCTTGTTTGAGCTTTAATGGCCAAGGTATGCCAATTCATCTTTTATGGTTTATATGTTCAACTTCATCATGATACTGATCAAGTTGTGCTTATAGCTTCTCTCTTGGCTCGTACAATCCAATCTACCTACTTCTTCGGCTCCCCTCAACTTAACAACGTCTCAGTAGATGGAGAGGAAACTGATTTTCAGTCGCCACCAACCAATATTGATGAACCCATACCTCTGATCACGATTCCTACATCTGATACACAGAAGGTAACACACTTGGATGCATGTATCGGTACAGCGCGTGATGGTTTCACGTATGGTTACATCGTTGATAATCGAGGAGGTATTTGGAAAACAAGTGACCCAGATAACGGACCTCAATGCTTACACATCGGCACTCTTACACTCACTGATAACGATGGAGAAAGGATTGATTGGGCTCGTTCTAGTGCAACATTTTACCAAGACTGCATTACCGTTGGTCTTCGTAAGTCTGTGCAAGTGATTGATCCACGAGCAGGTCTCGAGCCGACCACCGTTTTGTTTGACGTGAGTTCTTTTTTATAGCTAAAGAGAAAGTCAAATCTAATGATCCAAGGCTCATTCGACTATTTAAAAGTCTTCACTTGAAAAACTGACCCTTGCGCCCTGATTTTCCATTTGTTTAGTCCAGAAACGACTACAAAAACTTGTACAGTTTAAATGATAATCATATCTTGACTGATATCGAGCGACATCCAAGTCACCTTTCGCCGCATCTACGTCTGATCAATACAACCCAATCACTGATTGTCCTAGACGATCGTAAACCAACTGTTCCAATGGTTTCCTTTCCACATCATCGAACACAAGATTTAACTCTGAGGATGTCTTTTCCCTCAGATCTAGAAAGATTTCCTACTCAAGAGGGATTCAATTCTACAACTCCAAACCCTTTTGTAATTCTATGGTCTCGACAAAATGATGTAGCAAGTTTACATTCACTTGATAGAAATCAATTTGATAAACCACCTGCTATGATTGGATATCCTACGACTGTACCAGTCTTATCAACTACAGAAAATAATCCTCGGACTGGCCTTGTTCTTACAAGTTTCCCAAATAATAAATCTACTTCAAAACATCTTTCTGTTGTTGAAATGACCAGAGATGGAGCATTATGGCAACAAGTGATTTCATTAGAGGATCAAGCCGATTTATCTGAGTCGGTCACGACTTCTTTTACACCCTCTCAAAGACGCGTATGGGATGAAGAACTTTTTCAAAGAGAAAAAGAGTGTAAGATGTCAGATCAGTTGTCACGTCAAGCGATCACCCCCGCTACCAAATCATCTATGTTAGCGGGCCTTTCCATTATCTGTCAAGGTGTGTCGAAAGAAGTCATTTTCTATCAATCGGGGTTTTCCTTATGGCTTTTAATCAAATGATTCACCTTGTCTGTAGATTTTGATAAGATATACATATCTAAGACAGCGCAAGACGAGAGCCAAAGCTTGTCTTCTGATGAAGAATCAAGACCAGCTCGTTTTCTTACTAGGCGTTTAGATGTTCCAGATGTTACTGATCCACCAATTGATCCAGAACTTTTACGTTCTGAATCTCGAATATCACAAGTAGATTCCACCGACGAAGGTTTATCACAAAACTCACAATCATTAGAAAATAATAACGTTATTGATCTGATGCCGACACTCAGATCGATTCTTTATAATCCTAATGATAAACTTTTGAATCCCGTGGAAAATAATCATGATGAAATAGAACGATTAATTTCAAATGGAATCAATAATTCATCACGTTCAAAATATAAAAAATCAATAACACAACCAGTAACTCAAAACTCTTTAAGAAGAGAAACCGAAGAATCAGAAGAAAATAATGGAGTAGATGCAGTAGAAAGATTAATGAGTGGATGGAAGATTGGGATTCCAAGTTCTGAGTATGAATGGAAAGATATTTGTATAGAAGATCAAGAAGTTGAAGAAGAAGATGAATTAGATACAGATTATGGAAGAAGTTCTAGAAGACAAACGCCTTTATCTGGATTACAAAGATCGAGGGATTATAGTATTGGATTTGATTATGATACACAATTTAGTGAAGTTAGATCAAAGATTGAAATTGGAAGAGCTCCTTCTAGATCGGTTTCTAGAAAAGAACCTTCTACACCTGGTCGTAGTAGTAAGAATCGTTCAATGGACTTTACTTCACCTTTTACGACTCCTTTCAAAGAATCTACTCATCAACACCATCATGATAGATCTAGTCCTTCACATTTACCCTCAAATGAACCAAATAATTTTTATCAATCTCAAAATTTACCTACTACAAATTCTAATGGATTTGGTGGATCTTTAAGTCAAGAAACTTTTGGTGGAAATTTAATGGCTTTTTCTCAAGTCTTACCTGGACCTCATGGTGATAGAAGTAATCCTGGAGGTCATGTAAAGAAAAAGAAAAGAGTTGGTGGATTTTGATGGATTGTATCTTTTAATTTAATAGGTTTTGATTAAGAAGAGAAGTGTATGATTTTCTTCTATTTGGTCATCTTGTAAGAAATTGAAGGAATATATATTGGAAAAAGAAGATTTGTCTTATTCTGTATCTTTGAATTTTTGAATCCTTACCATATACAAGATACTAGGCTGTACCAGCATCTTGATATGAGTGTCATCCTATCTCAACCCCACAAGCAATCTTCCCTCACACTGTGCAGATGTAATATTTCTCCACTATGCAAAATGATTTCAATAAATGTTGAAAATGATTAAAAATGCAATGGTAATGCAGAAAAATGCAGTGTGGATACACATGCAGAATAAATGAAGAATTACTGCAATTTCAATTGTTTTTGTCATTCAGGTCAATCATTTTTCACTTGGGAAAAATACTTCATCTGTGTGATGTCATGGATCTTTTTGCTCACATCCTCATTCACATCAAAAGCTGGACAAGTGCAAGGATTAGAACTCTTGGATGGTATCACCAATTGTGCTGTATACCCTCAATGATACAAAGATTGAGACATGGTAACAACATCTGATAGGTACTGAAAACCATTGTGTGCGTGAGCAGATGTGTGAAGGGGTGGTATACCAAATTGACCCTTGACACACAATGATCATCTCCTACCTCATGATCACCGGACAACAAAACAATTGCCTTTGACAAGAGTTGATCACATCACAATGGCAACAAAGTTGTTGTACTTTGACTTTCACACCACAATTTTGTGGTACAAAAAAACCAATACTGCTGTTTGAATCTGCAAGAAAATCCAAGATATTCACACATTGAAGAATTTGAGTTAAAGCCCTCTGTCTGAGGCATATGCAGATTGACATCAATGGGGTTGGACAAAGCTATGTCAGCTGATATGATGTCCTTTTTGCTCTTACAGTCAGAGTTACAATGAAGCTTCTCCTTGTAATTGAAGACATAGTCTAGCAATTTTCTCTTCTTCTTCTTGCTGAAGTCTACAAGCCTCATTTTCCAAATGTTTTTGCATTCATAAAGTAGCCTTTTGTTTCTTTTTTTCAGCCAAAGCTTGTACTCATGCTGAATTCAAGTCCTTTCTTCCTGAGCTGCCTCATATTTTTGTTTTTTCTCAATTTGAGCCCAATAACTCTTTGATATTTGACATATCTCAATGGTTTTGATAATCAATTCAAAAGTTCCTGGAAGAGGCTCACTACCAGAAATTGCTCGGAGATGTTGTCCTGAAAGAACAATTTAATATAGTTTTACCGTCATCCATAATTCTATGTAGTTGAGAAGCTGGACCAGATGATCTGTATGGATATTAAGTGTCAAAGAGTTTATGGAAAGCTTCTATTATACCTGCAGCTAGGTCTATCATTGTTGTTGAGCAGTAGATCTTGTCATTGTTGGTGCAAGGGATCAGTCTTCCAGAAAAGGACTTTGGTGGTGATGGCAACATCAGCAGAGGATTCAAGAAGCTTTATGCAGGCAGATCCATTGGTATTGTAGGTAGGCTCAACATCTTCTGAAATCAAATGCAGTTAATGGTATTGAGGGCCTCAATGAGGTGGATTGTGCCAACAGGATTACAGACTGAGAATTGGCAAGGCTTCATCCCAGTGGCAGATTGTCAATCCCTCTCCTTGATGTAGATTTCAGCATCAACTGTCAGGGGAAATTTACCATAATTAAGCTGTTAATAGAACCATCAATTGTGAGATGTACTTGAATTTGAATTTGAAATCAAAATCAAGTAAAAGGAGACTTACAATGTATCAGAGTTCATCAAAACATGGAGACATGCTTTTCTCTACAATGTCTCTTAGCTAGATTGGCTTTACTTCTGATGTGCTTGTTTTTCATTCACTCAACATTTATTTTAGTTATTAGCCATATTCAAACCAAACCTAGTTGCACAAAAACCTGGTACACCCAGTTGACTTTTTGGCTGGAAGCTGTCAAGAGCTGTCACTAGATACACAAAGTTACCACCAAAAACACAACTGGGTGTACTGGGTTTTTGAGTCAACCGGGTTTGGTTTGAACACAGCTATTGCATTGTATTTTACATGTCACAGGTTTGTCCTATCCACACCTAGAGAATCTTGTGTCTGAAAAAACTCTACGTTTCTTGGGGGGGCTCTGCCCTAATGGGGGCTGAGGGAGGTAGAAGTTAAACATGACAAAGTCCCACACTCAGCTTGCAAGGCTTAGCAAGCAAGGGACTTCCACCAAACTTAAAAATTCATACACTGTTGGTTGGGACTTGCAGGGAGCCGCCTTTAATCCCTTATGCCTGATTCCACACCCAGGATCTGTACATGGTCCAAAGGAGAAAGTTATGAGCTTCACTCTTGCACATAATTACATATTTTTTCCCACAGAAAGTGCCCCCCTCTTGCCTAAAGTTTTCCTCAAAGATTGGCTCTTGACAGAAAACTATGTGTGTAACTTCTCCCTCAAGTCCAAATACAACCCTGGGACCCAGTATTTTAAACACAACTTTGGCAAGAGGGCATCAATCTGGCATCAATCTTAGTGCAAGATATGAGTGCACAATCCTCTTCAGTCCATGTAGGAATCTTTGGTAGGGACCCATGTAGAAACCAAGGGGCTTCTGTGTGCCATAAGTGCACAATAGACAGCAATGCAACACATTGCAGCCTGACAACAAAATATTGGCCTATTCCATTGCTTGTTGCCTTGCTTGTGAGAGCTAGGTTCCTTTCCCATTGTGTTGTGATGCTGAGCAACAAAGCCTGAAGCCACCCCGGCTCTGGAATGTCATCCTGCTGTATAAGCAATTGGTGAGTGGACTATTTCAGAAAAATTCAATATGTAATTTCTTTTTGATCAGGCAAACATTTTCCATTTTGTTTGACTTTGTAAATAGGTGTTCAAAATAACTGTGTCCTTTGCTTTCTTCCCGCATTTGGGGGGTTAGGTTGAATAAACACAATGGGGTTGCTGTTGCCCCTGGCTGGGCAGAAATTTAATTTCTTGCATTTCTCACGAGGGGGTTTGCAAGAAATCCAACACAGCCCTCATTGATGTAGATGGATTCCAAGATGACCTCCTGCAAAAGCCTCAACCGCAAGTTTATGAGATGTGCAAGTTTGGCATAATTCCTTTTCTTGCCAAACCTCACAAGGCAAGTGTGGTACTTTGTTAATCTAAGCAGATCCTGATGGAACAACATTATCAATTTATGGGATACAAAGTAGAAACCCAGAACTTGTCCAAGTTTCCCAATGGCGGTAGTTTTTGGTTTGCCTGGTTTGTCAGCTTCCCAACTACAGCCAAAAAGTGCAAGTTGGAACACTCAGACAAGTTCCAGGTTTCTACCAGTATACAAATATTGTTCTGGAAAATTCCAGACAACATTTTCCACAACACCAGAAGCCTCCTGGTGTTCTGGAAAACACAGAGTGTTAGTTATTCAAAGCTTCAGAACACCATAGTGTCAGACCACACCCCAAAAAACACTTGTGGCATTCTGGAAAAACTCTTCTGGAAATTTCCATAACCATATTTGAATACCCTATTTATATCCCACAATTTTTATTGTACCTGGGTGATCTTGTACAATCAACCATACAAGCAAGGATCATTAGCAATACATATAGGCTATTTATAGCTCTTTTCAATGTTCAAGTACATCCCATAGCCTCCAGATAAATTTTGCTACACATATAATGGCAATATAGGTCAAAAACATTGCATTTTACACCTATAAAGCAATCAAGGTGTGCACTGCTTGGCTCTGAATTTTAGACTTCCTTGGGTCTACTTGAAAAAGGTAATGAAAGCTGTTGACCATTCTTGATTACTTATAATCCAGTGGATGGTCTCAAACTACTTGTTCTTCCCACTTTTCACCTTTCTCAAAGGACTATAATTCTTATCAAATAATTATTCTCCATTTATTCGAGATCAACTTGCTTTTTATATTTATATATTTATCATATCATCCTTGCTTGATTCTTATAAAAAATTCTGTCCCACCTCTCCTCTCCCTTTTATTTTGATCTTGTAATTCTGTTTTTAGTCCGCCCCATAGCGGACCTTTTATTAACCTTTGAGTTAGTTGCACACCCCTTAGATTTATCCTGTATATTTATCTACTACCTTGCAACTAGCGCTCAGCGCCCCGATTCAAGCTAAAAACCTTTTCATCACTCAGTTTTAGCTGAATCACCCAGGCACCATATATATTCTCCACCGAGAATCCATAATTTTCTGTAGTGTAGAAGCAACACAACAACACTTGGCACCAATTGCACCACAATTGCCTCAGCCTTTAGTTTGGAAAGGAGAAATTTCTAAGCTGTGAAGCAATGCAGTATAAAATGCAAGAGGATGGGAGCTGTTGGTTGATGCATGCACCATTGTGATCCCAGTGTCTTGTGGTGGCTGGCCTCCTGATATCTAGTATTACTAAAAGAATTTTAGCTTTGAAAAGGCTTTCCCAATCAATCAATCAAGCTTGATAACTCACCAGGGCCCTTATGAAATAATCAAGATAAATGAGAATCAAAGGTTTCAGCTCGGCAATGAAATCTTCATTATTTTCTTCAATCAAGATCAACTTAAACAGTTTGACAACTTGAAATCAATTTTGTGTACATCTATTAACTTTTATGTTATTTATTTCTTCATTCAATCAAAACCAAAAAAAATCAATTTACAAATTTTAAAAAATACTTTACAAAATCTATCAGACACCCCAATTTTGTCCCTCTCATGTTTATCTTTTTATTCATTTTCTTTTATCCAATTTATTAATTTTGTTCTTTTTCTTTTCTTTTCTTTTTTGCTGCTTCATCTCTTTTAGAGAAAATCTTATTTCTAGATTTAGCTTGTTCTTTTGAAAGTTGCTTATTTGCAGACTTATTCCTATCATGAAAAATTAATAAAGACATCAATTTTAATATTCAATATTTCCACCAAGAATCCATGTCCCAAATAAAGCATTTTTAAGCAACAGAAATCAACATACCTTTCAATATAACTCATAGATTGTCCACCACTCAATCCACCAAGGTTCCCCACAACTCTCCTAACTCCTGCATTCTTTGCAGCTCCTTTCCCATTTCCACCAAATCCTTTACCTCCTATATCATCTAACATTCTTACATCTGCTCCAATATCTGCATCACTTTCATTTGCAAGTAAAACAGATTGTAAAAGTTCGATTTGTTCATCTTTAGTTGCATAAACTAATTCAGGTAAATTTTCTAATCCTTGTAAATGACTGATCACCTTGAATGCGTATCCTTGATCGATTAAGAATTGTTGACGTTTGGTACTAAAATAAAACTCTTGAGTACTGTAATGAAGAGATGTATAAAGAATATGATAAGGTAAGTGAAACATGAAGAGAATTAATGAGATCTTAGTAGGCTTACTCTCGGGACACAAGTGAATAGAAGAAAGCATTGAAACCTTCATCATTCCTTCTCTTTGCTCTCAGAATTCTACCTAGTACCCCATCAGACAAGATATAAGTATTTGATTCGGATTTGAAATTAAAATCGCACAACAAAAAGGAGAGAACTAACCTAATCGTTGAGCTTCTTGACGTCGAGATCCAAAATGTGAAGAGATTTGAATCAAGCAAGTAGCTTCAGGAAGATCGATAGAAGTATCTCCAACTTTTGATAAAAAGATTGTATTAACTAATGGATTATGTTGAAAGTTTTGCAAAATTCTCATTCGTTCAACTTGAGGTGTACCACCATGAATATAAAGTTTACGAAGTTTTTTAGCATATGCCTAACAACAAGTAAAAGAACCCACGGGAATCATTCAAACAGGATTAGATTCATATCAATATCAGCTTGTGTCTGCAGAATGATCCTTGAAGGAACTCACTTCAAGGGCATAAACATTATCGGAGAAAACGATGATCTTATCACCTCTTTCCTCGTGAAACTTGATAAGAAATTGACATGCTTGAAATTTCTGAGGATTCATACAATACAATAGATTTCGTTTTCGAGATTTTTCTCTCAAATATTCGCGATAGAACTGTAGAAATCAAAGAGACCTTCATCAGATATCTCCCAAGAGAACTAGTCTGAAGGATCAAGTAATATTACCTCCGGGGTCATAGGGCACCATACTTCAGCACATTGTACATTTGCAATATGTCCTTTAGCAGCTAAATCCATCCAATTAGCTTCATACAATTTAGGCCCAATTAAGAAATTCAAATCATCAATCTTGTCATCTTCTCGCACTAATGTGGCGGTCAAGCCTAACTTAGCATGAGCTTTGATAGTTCCAACAACTCTTCTGAACATCGCTGCCGGTACAACGTGTACCTCATCAAGTAAGATTAAACCCCATTCTCTTGAAGTCAAGAAATCCATCATTTTCTGTGAATCATGTGACCGTTTAGTTCGGTTAGCGACCATAGAATAAGTTGAGACGACAATTCCAGATGCACCCGCAAATTTCTCCTTGGTTTCAGCTGTAAAGACTGAGATTTGTCGATCTTGAATATTACTCCACATTAAAAATTGTTGACGCCATTGCATGACTGATACTCCAGATGTACAAAGACACAGTACTGATTTTCGAATTGTAGAAGCTGCTGTAATTCCAACAAGAGTTTTTCCAGCTCCACATGGTAAGACAATGATACCAGAGCGGGCTCGCCTGATAGGAAGAGAAGGATGAAATCAATATTCACATCAATTCGCATAGTGATATAAGCCGCTATATGGTATTACATACCCATTTCCAAACATTTTGCTGAGACTTTTCTCTTGATAAGGTCGGATTTGAGTGGCTGGTTTCAGATCAATCTCTAGGGTGGGATTAACGGTATCATTACGGAAATCGTATTCTTCCAACATAGGATAGTCAAGTTCGGCACAGCGACGTTTCACATTCTCGATCTCAGCACCCTTGACCTCGAATGAATGTACAGCGTCATCGTCATCATTCTCATCGGCTGGGAGCGAAATAAGCAAGTAAGATCAGCGCTTGAACAAAGTTTGTGGTGACACGCTTACTTACCATTGTCGACTCCGATGATAGCACCAAATAGATCATCTTCAGCTGATTTGGCTTGGTTATTGGATGACTCTCCAGTTCCGGATGCACCAGGCTTTGAGGTACCTGGAATTACCAAATCACCTCTTTTAGGTGCATTATCTTGATTCAGTCCAAAAGTAACCATCGTGTCTTCCTTGTTGTTTTCTGCTCCGGCATCTTCAGGTGCGAGTCGAGCTTGACTTATGACACTATCGCGTAATAATCGTCTTAGAACTTCCGGATCACTACTCTCGACATGATAGCTATTCTTCTTCAATACCAGCTTGACTTTTCCATAACTAGCCGTAGACTCTCTAATAAACTCGGCTAATTCAGCAGAGACCCTCACTTTACTTAATCGATTGAGAACCTCAATAATATCTTCTGTTTGAAGTCCTACTGATATTGCAGCTTGAAGTGAATGTTTTGTTAACTTATACTCGTGAATATGCGTGGGTCGAGAGACAGGTTCAGACACGGTGATTAAGAAATCTTGAGCTTGGGCAGCAAGTGGATGAAAGGCTTCAAGAATGATATTACGTGAAGCTGTATTAGGTGAAATATAAAGTGGTCTAGACGCGTGATCGGCCTTTAAATTAAGATATTTATAATCAGAACCAGGAGGAAAGACGATATCTGATTGTTCACCCGTCTCTTCTGACATATCATAAGATAAAGGATTAGATGGATTGAATTTGACTTTCATTGCTTGGGCTTTCACAGCGTTTGATTGACGTCCAGCCTGTTGTTGAGCTTGACCCTCATCTTCTGATTCTCCACCTGAAACAAAGGTAGCATCAAGGTTTTCATCTTCTCCTTCAGAGCTCGGTGAAGGTGAGACACCACGATTGGTAGAATTTGATTGTTCAGGTGCCACCTGTTGATCATCTTGACGTAATCGCTTTGATGACGATTCGGCACTAACTTGTGCTTGTGGGAACCCAAAGTGATGAATGTCAGCATGAAGCTGAAGTTTGATTTAGGAATCGATCAAGGATACCTATAGCAGTCCGTTTCTTGGGTGCCATGTGAGATTAATTGATATGAAGTTTACGAGGATGAGTTGAGCTCAAAGCGAAAGAGGTAATCAAGAAAACACGGAGCAAATGGCCATCAAAATTGGTGAATATAAATTATATACACCCAACAACATGTAATGTCTGTCCCCCTCGAAAGCGTCATTGTGGTGTACCGTGTGGTCCGTGGACAATAGACACTGCATCGGTGGCGGGGGTCGGGTCAAGCTCAGGAAAGAGGTCCGGACCCCTGGAGATTGATAGATGCCAATTGACAGTGACCCCATCACGCTCAAGAAGATCATCCCTCACGTGATAACTCATTGACTTGAATCTTCCTTTCAAATGGGGTAGAGCTCCAAAGCTTGTTACAAACCTCGAACACTGATTAGAAATGAACATCGATGTTATACAAGGATTCTTTTTGGAATGAGGTTGCCTCACACTCGATTCTTCTTCGACTCGCGCGATGTTCATCCTACATTATTCATACAAATATCATAAAGAAACTAGGTGTATTAGATAGCAATGATATTTTCCAGGGAGCAGATAAATTCTGAGGCTGTCTTGATAATCAAGGATATCGTTGAGTGACCAGTCCTGCCTGTGAAGTGCTTATAGTTATCACGCAGTGTGTCGGATTTTCGTTCAACCTGGAAGCTACCATGTTCTTAACCAACATATAGCTTTGCGTATGCCTTCTATTGTGTCTCGCCAACGTCAGCATCAACATTGACTTCAACAAAATGACGGATGGATGCCATGATATCATTCTTGATTTGTTCAGGTACCGTATCTAGAGAAAGCACATGAACGTAAGGCTAGACGAAGATAGCAAAATAATCAAAAATACAAAGACATACTGACCTGCTGCAATAGGTTGAATATATTCAATCAATTCCCCTAAGCTTGGTTCATCAGCCTCGAGAGCGCGAGCTATTTGAATTCGAAAAATTCAGTACCATAATTGAAATCGATGACAACTTGCAATCTTACAAACCTTCAGCTGTACATCTTAAATTTTCCTCCCAGCTAGATCCCTTCAATTGTTCTCGTACTTTCTTCGTTAATCTGGTAACCGATTAAAACTTGATGTCAGTGTATCATTCTATCCAATATCGCTTATCTAGCATCAAATTTTCAAGCATCAAAGGTGGAGAGGAAAGAAGATATGTCGATGAGTCTAGTGAATCACTTAGAATGGTGGAAATTATGTTGAAGTTTAACACCGATAAAGACGTAAGAGTTATGCAGCAATTTGAAACTTGATAAATAACAAGTGAACTAACATATCATAAAGAATAATTCGAACCCAGTTTCCTTTCCTCTACAATCCTGAGCAATATATCATTTCTCGCTTACCCACCTCGACCATTCACCTGAAGCTAACATTCGATTCTTCAATTCGGTTTTAATCATATCTTCAACTTTTGAGCTGGATTGATCATTGTCACTTTCGACTTGCACGGGATTGGAATTTGAGCTACTTGCTGCCGCCTTTCCTTTGTGTCCTGTCGTCATACTGATGTATTATTTGGAGTAAAAATCGAGCTGAGAGGTTGAAGTTTAAGGATTTTGCCACTCGCGCATTTACTCACCGACAAGAGCTCAGTCACCCTCGACCAATCTGTTGGCCGGCTGGCCCGTGAGAAGCGGGACGCGCGGCCCAGTCACTGTGGTACACTGGAGATCCGGTGTACACGGATCGGGCAGACGGGTCGTAGTTTATAACCCGCGCTAGCCGGCTGTCGAGTTGATCATCAAAAATTTCCTCGCCTCCTTTAAAAAACACATCACTTGCCATTTTACTCAGAAAAGAGGCCTCAATGCGTGGAGGGTATGTTCCGTTAGCGCATCTACCCACGATGGGATTGCGGAAAAAAAGCAATCCTCACATCACACCATCAACCGAATGTTTATCAAACTGATTCCAGTATTTTTGGATACTGATGTAAAAGCCATCATCTCGTAGATTGCAGACCTCTCCTCACTTCCTCACATTGCAAAATTATTGATGAAAAGTTGAACTATCAAGATCGACGGGATGCAAGTACAGCCGTTATCACAATTAACGGTAGAATTCTGTGATCATGCGTCGCTCTCGAGGTTAAATCTGGAGAGGTCAAAACTGGATTAAACCCAGTTTTGCACCCAAATGAACAAGGAGGCCTGGGAGACCTGTCACTTTGAGCCGGCTTTAACTAGTTTTTGACTTTTAGATTAAATTCCGATGCAACACACCAATGAAGAATTCTACCGTTAATTGTGATAACGGCTGTAAATGTTACGGGAAATTATGTTTTGATACCTTGATACATTGTTGATGGCACAAGTGCCAGAGCAGAACAGTTCGACCAATGTTTGTTGAACGCGGTGGATCACCAACCGTATTTAGATTTCTGTTGACAAAGAGGATCAGTGATCAAGTTTTCTTTTCATCTCCATATTAGCGTTGCTATGTCAACAGAACCATTCGAAAATGCAAGCCGGCCTAACTCTGCCGGAATGAACCCGAGCCAACCTCCAAGCCGCTTGCCAAGCTCACTGAAAACCACGATCTCGGAAGCTGATCTAGTCCTTTACTGGAATCTACTTTACCAAAACTTAAAGCGTGTGATGGCGAATCGTCGATCACATCTCAGCAGCCAGCCAACTGTCGGTCAAAAGTCTCTAAATGGCGCCGCCGGTCTCTTTCAGGATTCTAGTCAGCAAGCCAGTCAACCAACCCAATGTCGCTCCCTGACCATTAGCTGACTAAGCAGACAGAAGCTGAGCTGAGGCGATCAATTCCTGGCCATCCTCCAGGCCTGAGTGCAAGTGGGAGAAGTGATTAGGGATATGGAGATACGAAACCTGGTCAGGTCGGGTTAATTGAAAAAATTGTGACCTTGACGCATCATGAAAACAGGGCGAGACGAGCGAGTAAGGCATGAGACTGACGAGCAGAAATACGTTGAGATGGAAAGGCTGGTATCCGAAATTACTTTGCTTGATTCTGGCTGGCCTATTATTTCTTCGCCCTTAAAGGCCTGTCTCTTTTCCCTTCTATCTCTCAATCCCCAAACTGAACGCAAATCATAACTCTAGCTTCTATACTGCGCAGCAAAATAACCACCTCTCACCTTGGTCCTGCATTCATCTATCCTTTCACCTCGAGTGTTATCTCTTATCCTGCCAAGGTTTCTCAATTTTCAAGTGAGGCATCTCAATTACTGCACATGTTATGTTTGGAGGTAACATTAGCTGACTGAAGCTAACGTATCCTTTATAGCAACTCATTGATCATGGCAAACACAGTATTTTCAGCCATTGAAGATGATCCTACTTGGCTTCATCAGCTAGTCAATTCCTCGTCAGCCAATACTTCTACAAGCGATCAACCAAACCCAACCGCAAATCAATCTCAATTCTCAATTCAAGATCCATCACAAGATCCATTGAATTCCTATATAATCGATACCACATTTCTACCTCAATCAACTCCCACATCTGACCTACCCAATTTTAATGAGCAAGCCAGCCTCCATGTCGACCCCGTTGTATTCCACACACCCAACCTTCCCTCGGTATCTGCTTTTTCACGAGTAGGATCACAGCAAGCGCGTCGTGCAACTGTATCACTTGCTTCACCTCACTACAGTCGATCACGCTACCAGGCGGACCAGACTATATGGACTGGCCCCTCTGGATGTGCCAATCATAATTTGATTAGCACTCCTGCCACTCTCAACGCTGCTCATTCACTTCTGGCAGCGTGGGCTTCAGGAACAAGTCTACCATCCAGCTTTACCATCCCAGAAGAGACGGACGCTTCGTTGCAGGTGCAGTCTGATTGGAACCCACAATCACTGCCACATGCCGCCTTTGACAATACGGTTCGTTCTTTATATATTTCCTTCTTATCTTGTAGCTCGTCATTCCTAAGTGTTTCACCTTTGAATGAATCAGGCTGGCTATGCGCATTCAACAGGCGACACGCGCTACAGATCGACGTCACTATCTTTTCTCGGAGGCTTTTTTCCCACAGACTCCTTGCTACACACTGCTAGCTCTGAAGCGCTTCTCGAAGATTATGGGACAACCAATTTATCGGGAGCTGAGCCTGAGTCTACAGAGTTCCTGAATTATTCGACTCTGCCACAGGATCCCCGTAGCCATCTCATACCTCCAGGCTCTGATTTGGTTTCACCGTCCATTCCGCAACCTTTGGAATCCGGACTGTTCAGTCAGAGTTCATTAGACAAGGACGGGCAAGTGACAGGATCTAGACATCGCGCAAAGAGCAACTCTCACGACTCGCAATCTGATTCTGATAATGGTATCCATACATCCACGGAGTCTTCTCGAGCCGAAATTCGTGGATCAAGGACGAGTCCCACGGATCAGAGCGACTCGCATCCCTCCGTAGGTAGCTTTGAAGCTCCCGCCTATGCCCCCGCCCTCCCGCCTCTTCCCTTTCCGGAATCGTTTGACCATAAGAATGGTTCGGCTGGAACATGCACCCAAAGCTGGATTCCTGCAGACGCTTCCAAGGCTCCCCTTGCTCAAGACCCGCACTCTTCGAATCACTTCGATCGAGGCCTCAGCTATACTTACGGTCCAATATCGAATTTTGATTCGGAGGAAGCGTCAAGATCTCACCACACGAATCAATTCTTGTGGGATGAAAAATTCTTGACAACGCTGGAGGTGAGCATTTTTCACCGCAGTTTTCTTCCCATCTTTTAGCCGGATGTGAATTTTGTGCTCACCAACTTGGACCTTGCTATCATATAAGTCTGTTATCCCTTCTGAGCAGAATTTCGAGCCTAGACGTGAATCGGATCCTTTCCCTGCGGCGCCAGTCCCTCAGAGACCATGGGAGCAGCGTCATCGTTACTCGATTGCCACCATGCCCTTTGAAGGCTCGACATCGAATGCCTTTGGTAACACCATGAAATCCGTGAGCGACCTCGAGCATCCGAACGCTCTAGACTCTATAACGCCTTCATACAGTCGCCAATTCGCCAGCTTCACTACCCAGGCATCTGAGCCTACCTCTGCCGGACCCGATACAGCTGCCACATCTGTATTCGACGAGGGAAGACTTGATGGGTGGTCCCAATCCCAGACACAACCTGTGCACCATACCCACAATTGCTCTTCACACACTAAAGCAAGCTCACTCGGTGCTCTCGGCTTGAATCAGTTTGCGATGCTACCGCCGGTCATCCCTCAAACCTCGACCGAATTTCCCCAACCTAATGGAGGACGTTCACATGACGAGACAGGGGTTGTGGGTGCGCGTGATCCATCGAATACAGATGGTACCAAGCGTGGATGGGTCAGTCGGAATGCAAGGCAGCTTGGATATGTTAACGGGCAAGTAGAGGCTAGCTTAGCTCCACAGGAACCGCTCTTTGGCTTTGGTAGCGAGCCTACTTACGGGTTTCAAAACTTCGCGGCTCGCTACACGCCGCCAGTCGGTCGGCCTCAAGATATTGTGGTCGAACGCCTTCCGGAGCTCACTTTACCTCCAGCTTGTGTCCCCAACAACGGGCCACCCTCCATCGATCGCCCTCCAACTCGTCTTCGTCGGCTTACTATGCTCACTCAGCCGCTGTGGACAAGCAAGCGGCCGGAAATGCCGAGTCGATCGAGTTCTTATGGTCATGGGTCATCAAGACCAGTATCTGTGAGCTGGAACGAGCAACCCCGCGAGCATACGAAGGTCGGAGAGGTCGTCGGCTATGAGCATGGTCAAAAGACAGGCGCACTTCCTTTGCCCTCACGAGCTACAGGACCTTCGCCTCAATCAACACAGCCTCTGAGCCAGTCACAAGGAAAGAAGCGAGAAAGAAGCCTTTCGATGGCCGATCCAGCGCCCCCGCTCAAATACAGTTCGTATGATGAGCCCTCACGGTATGGTGGTCTCGGACAGGGGCCGTCTCCCTATCCTCCTGGCTTAAATGGAGCAGTTAGGCCAAACGAGGAAGATTTCAATGGAAAGACAGGCGAGGGTATGATTCCATGGCAGCAGGAGTTGAGGTGCGATGAGGATCTTTATACACCGATCTGGTGTCGAGGTCAGAACGACAAAAAGGAGGGATTTTGCGACATGTGCGAGGGTGGGGCATGGTTGAGGCTAAAGAACAGCGCATTTTGGTGAGTGCCAACCGATTCTTCATGGTACATGATAGCGAATTGGGAAAATCAACTGACACATCTGATATACTTTTGTCCATATAATTCTAGGTACCACAAACAATACTATCATGGTGTTAGTTCAACGACCGGCCACTACTTCTACCCCCCGCGAGAGACCAAGCGTGGGCTTTCTTCTGCGAATCGGCAGCAAATCCTTGGACTATGTCACGAGTGTAATGATTGGGTTGGGTATTCTGCAGTTCCTGGAAGCTCGCGCCGAGCACCTAAAAGCCAGGCAGTCAATCAGGAGAATGGAAGCGAAGGCGAGTGCAATCACAAGGAGGGCACCGGGAATGCAAATGAGGAGCCTCACGGAGAAGAGGCTCAAGAAGAAGATTTGGCTGAGATTGGCGATGACGAGTCGAGTCAGAAATTGGCAAAGGAAAAGGCGGATTCAAAGGTCCCAACGCTTTGGTATAAACATGCTCACAAATGTCATCGACATCAGACATGTAAAGGCGCCAAGGGAAGAAAAAAGGGAAAGAAGAATGGACAAGCTAAAGGGAAGGGAACCGGAGCAAAAAAAGTTGTTGTCTAATCTTGCGAACCATCTTCACTTCGAGTGGATCAATGTGATGGTTTGTGTTTGTTTCGACTTCACCCCTTTTTGACATACGTTTCTTGTTGAATTCTCATCCTAGCCCTACTACTCTATCTCCATCTCTCTCCTGCATTTTACTTTGCCTTTTTATTTTCTCGTAATTCCTTGACTCATTCCCAAACAAAAGTGTAAATAACCGAGAACGATATCAAAATGTAGAATACTGGAAGCGTCTTGTAACATTTCATTCTCTCTCATCTTGTTTTAAAGTTCGAGAATAGAAAAATTTGAGTTTGGAAAAATGAAAGGATTTGGACATGTGAATCCTGCGTCTAGGAACAAGGGCCAATACATTTCAGGGGTAGGTGACGAGCATTTGTGCGCGAGCGAATCAAGTTGGGTTATTTTACCCTACACCAAAGCTCATCAAAGCTTGCTTGACAGGCCTTTCAGCTCAGCCGTTGGATCGCTTGCAATTCTTGACTGAACAAGTTTCGCTCTCTGATATAGTCACTCTGTGTCCTCTGTATCGAATTGGGGGCGATATCAAAATCAACTCCGGTGTTGAAGTGCGAATGAATCACGTGTAATCGATAAAGCGTGTTACGATACCGGATCAAGCATACCGAGCAGTTTGATTCCTCAGGATACCTGATGATGACTAAATCCTACGACGTAGGGCGGATCAGTGCTCAACAGCCCTTGTGTATCATCTGTACGAAAGTTTTAGGAGTAAAATTGCTGACCTATGCACGTATATTTCAAGACAATCCAGTGCTTGCTGAGCATACATCGCCTCACGAGAAGATTTTTCTGATTTCATTTATGAAAGGCTCATCACAATACAAAATCAAAATGCTGAAAAGATCATCGTGCAAACGCTGAGGCTTGATGCGCCATAAGATCAGCATCACAAGGTCTATAGACGACATATAAAGGTCAGATGTCTTCCAGCTCAGAGACTGTCCTCGCCACAACATCATAATCATCTTTACTGTCCAATCAGTCGCCATCTCTCTATTTCAAGATGCTCGCAGTAGCTCTTCTAAATTTTATCATCGCACAAGCATACATCTTGCCAAAAATTTTGCGATCATTGGTTCTCATTCTAACTCTCCGAATCTTCTCTATTACCGTTTTCGCTTTGTTGGATTTTTTCATCTGGTCAATCCGATCTTTGGTCAAGTGAAAAAATGACTGAGACTGAGTGCAAAGAAGGTTGACTATTATTATGTGAAAAGCTTAAGACCATCAGTCGAAAAACAATATTTATGTGTTGAGTCTCCTCTATCCTCTATTCTTACATTTCTTTACATAGAGGACTTCTGATGTAGCTGACTTTGCATGCGCGCATGATAGGGGCTCGGAAGAATCTTGAATATGTTCTTGGCTTCTACGACTTGTTCTTCAACGGCTCATCTTTTTGACTCTTCCTTCATTAGTATTGCGGCAACCCTTTTTATTCATCCTGAATCGTCACCATTTATCGCATCTTTCATTTTCATTTCAGGTTTTTTTGGGTTTATTATCTGGGCATGTTCTTGAAGAGCTTGGATCACTTGGATTCACATGGTCTTTCTGTCGAACTTGACATTTGGTGCGGAATAGATTGTGATTATTCAGTGTTTTCTTGCACTTACTGGTTACGAATAGTATTACTAATACTGCTTGGCCCTCTGGGACGAAAGTTTAGTTTTTGTGTCGTTGTAAATAAAATCGTCTGCTGACCTATTTCACCCTCCGAATCGACATGAGAGCATCCTCCTTATATCGACTGAGTTTGATCTCTACTTTGAAGAGATGACTCGTGAAATTTTTACAGTCTGATAATGCTTCCCCACATTTTGGTCTTTTGAACAATGTAATGCTACACATTCTTCAGTATGATCCGTATGTTCAGCATCTCTGCTTTTTTGAAAGCTGAGAAAGGTGATTAGCAGTCATCAGCATCAGAAGGGCATATAAAGTTCAGGTTGAGATTCCAATCAGACTTATCACTACAATCCTCTTGTCCAAGATACAATATCCTGTTCACACTTCAATCAATCAACTCTCCTCCTCTCAACTATGATCCCAGATTGCTTACTCGATATCATATATAGTGAATTCTTCTTATATCATATCGGACCAATTCTTCTTCTGTACATTACGGTCTCTTTAATCTCTCCTAAAGTCTTACGACCAATAATTGCACGTGTTGTTTTACTTCTCGTCTCTTTCCTCGTCATCTTTTTATGCGTCATTCTCATCTGGTCGATTTCTTACTTCTCTCCCAAAGAGGAAAGAAGATCATCTTCACCTTTACCTTTACCTTCACCTTCACCTTCACGTCTTCCTACTATTATTGTTACACCTCCTACTGAAGATCATATCACTAACTTGCCTCCAGCATTTGAAGAGCAAGATCAAAACTTCCTTACAACACTCTATCTTGGATCACGTCCCATGCGTGGAAGAAGTAACTCTCGTGCTTCGAGTTTCGCACCCGGTTTTTCACGTAGCAGATCTCGTTCACCAGCTGGTAAGTAAATACACATCTCTTTCTCTACTTCTTTCTTTTAACTGATGAAGTTCGCATTTGTGCATCTTACTACAGGCTCTCGTCGGTGGATTTGAATGTTCATTTTATCTTGTGAAACTGGTCTCATTGAACCCTCTTTAAGACTCTGTGTTCCTTCTCCAACATTGGATTCTCATTATTTCAAAATTTCTTCTATAGTACTTGAAATCCAGGATAATTTTTCTTTGTGGAAGGTCACTTGAGGCCCCTTGTTCTTCAATGTCAATCTAGCTGCCGTTCCAATTTATCTAAACTGTCTTCTTGTCGCGTTGGCAATGATTAATCTCTCAGAAGTTGTGCCAACGCAATTCCATGTTAATTTGGATTTCTTTGCTTGGACATGATTTCTTTGCATCTTCTTTCTTGAAAATTAGAGTCTATTATCATATCATCAAATTAAGATACCAATTTTCCTCTTTTAGAGCATCCGCACTCGTGCGGTAAGTCGGGTGCGGTAAGGTTAAATTTACCGCAAACGCGGGGTCTTTTCCACACCGGTGAAAAATTAGCCCCGCGGTAGTTAATTTTCGGTCATTTTGCGTTAGCGAATTGGTAAATTTACCAATTGGCTAACGCATGCGGTATCACACATCACGACTTGTTCCCGGCAACTCGACTCCAAAAACAAAACTCAACCAGACCTCCAACACCAAAGTCAACAACCAATATCTCCTTTTCACCACTCACACACGATGAATTCCAAGCCTTACAGTTGCATGAATCAACTCGAGAACGTTCGACACCGATCGATGTCTTCAATTGAAATAAGTCAATCAACCATCTTGAACTCGACTCCAAACCATTCAGATGAAAATGAAAGATGTCTAGATTCATATAGCTATGTAGAGGTCAATATTTAAGAAAATCAACATTAAAAGACCAATCATTGGAGGACTTTTAGGATCAAGTGATACAAATTAAAAATTGAAGTTTGGATTTTTATTTCCTAGTTTTAAATTCTTTAAATCTTTTACAAGATCATTATGTGTATTCAGACTCATTAAAAGCTTTCTCGATGTAGTAAAGCCTTTGTTTTTTAATTGGAATTCATGTATTAAGATCTGAACAAACTCATGTTAAATTTGTAATTTTAAATTAAGATCTATCGATCGAGTAGATGAACAGGATGATATCGGGTCTTCATGTGTAGATGGAGTATTAGTATCTTAGTGCAAAGAAGAGAACAGTGCCTCTATCACATGAAAACTGGCCATGAAAGCAGGTGATGTGTACTCAAAAAATTAAAACTTTACCTTACTGCACAACCGGTGCGGAGTACATGCACTATCTGTAAAGTTATAAAAGTTACAGCGCTGCTAATGCAAACGAGTGCGAAATTTGGTTGAGTTAAGTAACTTTTTACTTAATGTTGTGTTTGTTACCGCACGTGACCAAATTAACAACCGCAAACGAGTGCGGATGCTCTTATCCACAATTAATAATTATGACAAACCTCAATGTATCCATCTTTATACGTGGGTCTTGTTTCAGTTCTCATTTGTTATTATTTCATTTCTTCTTTTTGTTTTATTTTCTAATTCTCTCTTTCCTTTTTCTTTTCTAAGCAATCCTTTGTTTTAAGTCTTTGCCTTCTTTTAAGGCTCGACTTGGTGTGGGGGGGGGCCTACGGCCCGGGGACTGCCTGTCCGAGAAAAAAGGGGTTTTCGTGGGCGGGGGCGGGCGGGTGGCCCACAAAACTATCCGACTCGTGTCGTCACTGTTGTGTACTCTGTCGTTTGTTTCCTTCTTTGTTCTTGTTGTGCCTTAACCGTCTGTTTCTATTCCCGTCTTTCTGCCTATTCCCTCATTCTACCTTTCTATCTCCGTGTGTATTTGTATGCGTTTGATCTTACTTCTCTCTTTCTCTGTAGGGTGGGAGGGCGGTTTTTTTTGAAATAAATACTTTGTACATATTTCTTTACAGCCGTTGTGAGAACTAATGGTAAGATTTGGGGTCATGTGTGTTTCCGAGATTTAACTAGGGTTTAATCTCTAGTCCAAAACTCATTTCTTTTTGGTTTCGCAGGCCTAAACCTTTTTTTGATTCCGTCGAACTGAAATCTTCATAGGCTGACACCTGCTGTCTTCCAACGCTTCCATGCATACATTCAACTTTCAAAAGGTCTTGAGCCGGCCTCCGGATCCGTTACCGGTTTCAACCTCATCAAACAACCTCTTCCAGTCTAGACCGGCCACTTCGACACTTCTTGTTTCAAATCCAGGGTAATGCTTTCGCTTTCGCCTTTCGATCGATGAAGGTTTGCGTTCGCCATTGGATCAAGGTACGTAAACATAATTTTGAGTTTCTTTTCCCTCATGATTTCATTCACTAATACGATAAATTGATCTTTTAGTATCCAGGTGTAAAAGAACAGCCCTTCTACGAAAGAAAGAAGATTCCGCCATCACTCAATTCTTTTCTGATGCCGAAGAGAAGATGCGTCTTTATTTCAACTCCAACACATTAATTAAGATATTGACTACTGACGACTCTTTGTCGAAAGAACTGTTTTTCTATCATGAAAGAAGAACAATTACGCCAAATTCAATTCTTTGACTGATACTGAAGATTTCAATCATGTGCGTCATTGGGCCGTTTGGCCCCATTATGGCCGCTATCAACAAACAGGGATATGCCCTCAAATCACGTCATATCATATGAGATCATATCGGAAAACGGGGATCGTTTGGATGAAAAAGGGATCGATGTGGTTCCGCCCAAACAGTATAAATAGTCGAGGGTTTTGGCCCAAATACTCTTCTCCTCATCGGATTCAGCAAACTCTGCAAGTAAGATTGCAATTATCTTATATCTTGTTTTTTTCCCTTGCACTCTTTGTCTCATTCTTACCAATGATTCCTTTGTGAATCACCAGATTTCGAACTTCTGTTATTATCTTCCCGGTGTTTTTAACCTTGACTCTGTCTTGTTATCAATCAGTGCGTTTCTTGCATGAGCCGTTTTTCGATTCCCTTTTTAATATCATTTTTCTTTAGGGTAGCGTTTCTTTTGCTGATTATAACTATCAACCATATTTTCACCTAGGCAACTTCTCTAATCATTAAACATGTCTAACCACGATTCACAAATCATCAACACCCCAAATGTGCCACCTGTTGAAGGTCACATGAATGCTTGTAAGTGAATTTCTTGTCTTATAAGTTTAATCAATTCCCTATACTGAATTCAATTTGGTTTCAGTATTTGAAAAGCCTTCTGGTAAAACCGGCAATGACGCACCTGCCACCTGTAGTCAACAAGATCCCCTTTACCGGATTGGAACCGCCCCTTGTATCCAATTTGATCAACGAAACGAGATGATTATTCAGGTCAAGTTCAAAATTCATGTCGAAAAAGATGTTGAAGTCGACCAATCAATCAAGGTCGCTAGCAGAGCTCGCAGACCGGCAGCTGCCTCTGCGAGCTACAACATCATCAAATCCAAGATGTTTAATGAAGGTAATATCATCGAGTTAGTTAAGTGTTTATTTGGGAAGTCTCTCAACGACTTCAAAGATTTGTGTGGCAATATATGTGAGGAGTATGAACCGGGCATGCAACACATGGTTCTCAAGAGCGATGTCGCTGCGCGCTTGAAATGGATGGGTCAGGTGGGGCGTGAAAAGGTTTTCCTTGTCGACTATTTAACCTGGCAAAGCTTTGTGGACTTACTTGCGAAAGGGACCAAGCACAAGGGGTCAGTCACTATCTTTACCAAGAATGCGAAGGAAAAAGCTAAGAAAGAGGCTCAGGTATGAGTTTTTTTCCCTTGTCTTTGCTATACCGGTCTTTGCTAATGTGACTCTCCTGAGGCCTCTTAGACGTGTGCTGAAAAGCAGTTCATAGCTTCAGCCAGCGGTGCCACTCCAGCTGAAGCACAGGTAGGCGAACTGACCAAAGAGTTAGAGGTGTGTTGTGTTCTTTTTTTCCACCCAACCCATTCCATCACTCGTTCTTTTTCTCACCTCTTCGGTATTTATATTCGATGTTTGTCTCATAGGCTGCCCGTAAGCGCATCGAGCTCCACGAGTTAACAGCTCAGCTTTTCCACGAGCAATCACAAAGAGGAACGTCTGGTGATGGAGCGATTTTGGTCTGCCCTTGGAACCCAAACTTCCAGTACCGCTTGACTTGGAATGGGGCGTGGGTATGGGCCAAAGGCGTGGTTAGTTTCCCTTATTATATTGTTCTTGCTGATTGATGCTAACACTTTTGGTTTCTTTCATTATCAGCAATCTGGAATGGCAACTCGCAACATCCCGCCGCGCACCTACAAGTATCTTGCGATCATAAAGAAATCACGCGTGTTCCACAAGGCCATGGAAGTCGACAATCGTGTTAAATTGTGATCCTCTCAATTTAACCTCAACTTGTCTCCCACCTTCCATAAATCGGGTGGTTCTACCAAGTCTTTTTTCGATTCACCTGCTAAACTCTTATTTCAAAACGTGGGTGGTTCCAAAAGGTCTGCTGGTGTAGCAGGCGTATCTGAATATGATCCGAAGAAAACTAAGGGGGATCCAGGTATGATGGACCTTTCAATCATTCATATGATTGGTTGATGACCTTGCTGATACCTTGTTTTTGACCGTTCTGAAGTTAAAAAGTTCAAAATGGAACCCGGTACGCTGCCCCACGTCTTTGGTCAATGTGTGAACGACGATCTGACAACTTCATGTTTCTGTAGGCTCCACCTCAGGATCTGGACAAGGGATCACCATCGTGTTGTCTTTGGACCCCGTGTCTCCTGGCAAAGTTTTTCATTCAACAAACTATAACATGCCCATCAAGAAAGAACCTGGTATGTTCAGTTTCTTGCCCTTGATATTCACGTACTCTACTGACAAATGATGAGCTTTGCCCATGACGCTGCGTTATAGGCTCCTTGACCCGGCATGGATCGGGCATCACGATTGATATCTCTTCAGATAGATCTTCGTCGCCAGGCCACCTCGTAGACTTATCTCATTTGGTCAAGAAGGAGGTCAAACCAGAACCTAGTAAATGTAAGCCTTGATCCTTTAATTTCACCCTTTATCATTTCAACTATGCCTGTACTTATACTTGTTTATGCATGTTGGTTAGCCTCTAGCATCTCTAGCTTTGTTGGGAAGAACTTAGGTTCTTCGCAACATGAAAACTCCAACATGGACACCGAGGACCGCGCTCACGCCCACGCTGCTGAGCTGGAACGTTTTCTGGTATACTGCAATGTACCCAAAGACGACGAGACCACCAGACTCATCCTCCAACGTGCCAACGTCCACTCTTGGACCGACTTGATTCCTGGCATCCAGATGACCGAGTCCACCCTTACTACGCGTGGAATGCATCCTTGTTTGGCCTCTCATCTCCTAAGTGAGGCTATGGATCGTATGAATGGCCTCAAGGACGATATCAATGACCTTCCTGATGAGGATTCCGATGGGGATGAAGATCATCACCAATTGGAAGGCAAAGACCAGCTTGACACTGCCATTTCCCCCGAGTTCTGATACCTTGAGTTCTGATGACTTCCCCCCTTATCTCAAAGGTCTTCAGTTTGATCAACCAGCACCGTTTGTCTTTGCAAAGTCTTATTCAGCTCAATGTGTTTCTTCTGACTGTTTCCCTCAAAATCGACTTGTCTTTACAAAGTCTCAACCAGCTTGATATGTTTCTTCATTTTGTTTCCCTGCTTTTCCCCGAGTTCTGACTACTTCTCTCCATATCTCAGTGGACTGGAGTTTGATCAAAAAACACAATGTGTCTAACTCGTAAATCAATCATATTGTTTTTCATTCCTGTGCCCCGAGATGTGACTACTTCCTAGCTGATCTCAGTGGTGATATGTTTGCACAATATACATGATGTGTCTCTCAGTCGTAACTTTAGCAATTTGTTTTTCCCTGCCCCCTCCCTATATATGTTCACCACCTCGATAAAGCTCCCAATTGTGTTATCTATATGCTCACCTCATCCCTTGATTGAAGTCGCAATGAAACCTCTGGGTTGTTTTCACTCGCCAAAAGTCTTGATATCATTCATTGATATTCAAGTGTGCTGGTCCACTTTGCCATTTTATATATAAGTCTTTGCTTATAAAATAAACAAAGACTTATAAAATAAACATTTTATAAGACTTATTGAACCATCGTACCTATTAAAAAGTATTCATTTTATATATAAGTCTTTGCTTTTAAAATAAACAAAGACTTATAAAATATACATTTTATAACTCTTATTTAAAAGAAGTATAGGTACAATTTGACGAACCTCTTTTATTTTGAAACATTTTTGGACCTTTATTCAATTTTTTTTGGCAATGGAATTAGGACCAACGCTCGTCAGACCAGTGGTCAGAGACATTGTGTTCAAGAATAAGAACCCTACGAGTCTTTATGACCACTTGTAGGTTCATAAAAATAAGATCATTCAAAAGGGCATATTGAATGTATTCCAAAGGACAATCTTCACAAGACATATAAATTCATATCACGTATGAGCGTGTGTACTTGAGAGTAGAAACTACAACTGTATCATGTATGACCGTGTTTACTTGAGTAATTCTCGGAGAAATTACAGCAGAGACCTCACAAACAATTGATGAAAATATTCAAAATAAGGAAACGGTAAATTTATTCATGTATGACCGTGTTGACTTGAGGATTTGAGCAAGTAGAACAAAAAAATGAAGAGCTTAAACAAATTTGCTCTGACCATGTCCAAAAAAAACAATCGGTAAGCTATTTCAAAAAACCTAATTGACGAGACTTCACAAACAACAATCCAACCTAATAAGCATCTTTGAGTTGAGTGGTGGGAGTTTAAAATGACGAGATTTGATTTTCCAAAACTTGATTGTACTTTTTATAAGTACCCACTTCCTCTAAAAAAACCTTCGCATGTAACTTCAGTAAATAATTCCATACAAGCAATGAAAATTGCTGCTCTCTCATCATCTGGACTCAAAGCCCGCGCCAAGACCTGAGAACGCCTGAGTCGGGATTTCAAGACGGAAAACCCCTTTTTGATGGGGTTGAAATCGGGGCTGTAGGGTGGTAGATATACGAGCCTGACCCCTCGCGCCTCACATAGCTCCTCCACTCTCCCTCCATGGTGGATGGGAGCATTGTCCATCACCAAAACGCTGTTCCGCGCCGGGAACGGGTTCATCGCTGGAAGCTGAAAATCAACAGAAGTCATTTATCAGAGCGTGTTTTTCATATGTCCAACCAATCTAAAAGAACATACCAAATCGTGTTCCAGATAGGCTTCGAAATCCAGCCTGCTGTAACCACCTGGCTGAACAGAGACCGCGACGATACCGTCCATCGAAATTGCCGGCAAAGCAGACCATTGGGCAGCCTGAGTTGGTCTCTGGAGGCGAGCAGTGTGTTTGCCAATTGGTGCACAAGCATGGGTCCTATACAATCTACGTTTTGAAATAGCTGTTTCATCTGCTAACGGTATCAAGGTCAGTCTTACTCGAATTAATGAATCTGAAAAGTAAAAAAAAATGCACTTACCAACAAATACCAAACAGCAAGGATCATATTGAGAAATGTCCTCAATATAGGCGCCACGAGCCCTGACAGATTGGTTGGGGTGCACGGTGCGGCCTTTTTTCCGAGTCCAACAGAGCCGAGTTCGAAGTTCAGTGGACAAAGTCTTCACGGAGACCGTCCTTCCGAAAGCCTCTCGAATCTTGGCCTGGAGTTCATCGAGGTAAAGAGTAGGATCGAGTTCAAGTGCTTGTAATACAAAATCCTTCTCGGCGGCTCCTAGAGTACAAGGCGCGCCATCCCTTGCGTGGTCCAGGGGATTGGTAACCACGGCGCAAGTGGTACGATAAAGGTCGAACCAACGTCGCACCGTTGTGAGTGAAAGATCAATTCCCGTGCTGCGTACGATCTCGGGAAAGGTCTTTCCTTGCAGAACCATCCGTACCACGACGAGCTTGACATCGGTGCTGTACAAGTTTGTAGGCATTTTGATATCGAAATGGGCGACTTTTTGATTTGAAATAAAGGTAAAAAATATTGAAATCAAGTGAATTTGTTGAAAGAAGAGAAAAGGGGTATTTTGGATTTGAAAAAAAGATTAAAAAAACGATATCCAGTGACTTTGTTAGATGAAGAGGCTACTTTTGGATTTTCGAATAAAATAAAACGGCGTTGAGGATGAAAAATAAACAAAGACGGACAGATATCTGGGGGGAGGAGACGACAGAGGGAGAGATGATAGAGAGGGAGAGGCGAAGGGAGGTATAGAAGAGAGGGAGAGAGTGAGACAAAGGGTTTAAACTTTATGCATGACATCCTTCTTTCCAAAACTGTACCATGGCAGGTGTGAGACCGACCGACTCGGATAAATGTCAATCTGCCAAACAGATGACATTTATCTCACGGTACAGATGGTCAGAAATGCTTTTTTTTGGTTTTTGCCAGATTTGGATAAAATCTCGACACAACACAAAAAAATAAGAAATTACCGATAGTTCTCACAACGGCTGTATGTGTTGCGTAAACTTCAGATCTCTAGATCGAACTTGAAAGGTGTATGAGTAGCGAAGAGCGTACAGAAATTGTGAATATGAGAATTTTCACAATTTCTCGCTCTCCTCATGTGGTGCCGGGTATTTCCCGGCCCTGCTTTCCCGGGCTCATACACCGCGACCTTTTGTCTCGATGGAACTCACAGGTGACGTCGTGCCTTTGGCCACCTGTGTCAATCCATCTTTATACGTGGGTCTTGTTTCAGTTCTCATTTGTTATTATTTCATTTCTTCCTTTTGTTTTATTTTCTAATTCTCTCTTTCCTTTTCCTTTTCTAAGCAATCCTTTGTTTTAAGTCTTTGCCTTCTTTTAAGGCTCGACTTGGTGTGTGGGGGGGGGCCTACGGCCCGGGGACTGCCTGTCCGAGAAAAAAGGGGTTTTCTACCACCCAATCTCTGGACGTATGGCGTCCTGAGCCCGTCGAAAACCCATCTACGACATCAGTCCAGGCTGTACGTCTCTCAATGGGGATCTACGCCTGTATAATTTCTATTAAACTTTAAATTCAATTTCAACTATCTACAGGTTGCTGATCCTTTACCCTCTTCCCCTCACTCTCTTCGCTGTCTCTCTTTCCCTTTATCCACTTCCTCTATCTTCTCTCCTGTGCTATAAATTTACGACCGCTGTTAGTTCACTCAATTCGTCATTCACTCTTTCCAATTCTTTTCACTCACTTTTTCTGCCACGACTTGAACTCTAACATCTTCCATAGGTCCTTTGTTTCTATCTTTTCTTCCCGACTGTACTTCCTCAAGCACAACTGGTATGCTTTTGACTGCCATCTTCCTATCACCGTGATTTCCTCTATAGGTCTTCTTTTGTTCCACCTTAAAGTAGCTCCTCCTACTCTGAATGAGTGTCCTGATAACTGCGTCTCTTCTCCGTTTTCTCTCCATATCTTTTTGAAAATTCCCATCAATTTTGTTTTCGATATTGTACTTCTCTTTCCATTGGCCTCTAAATAAGAGAATAGCGGATCTTTTGGTCCGGTCTCATTGTCTCTCACCATCCTCTCTATCGCGGTCGTCGCGTCTAGATACGACTCTTGACGTCTGAGCTTTATGTACTGGACCTGACCTGGTTGCGCTGTCTTCGCATTGAAAATCGTGATTGTTACTCCATTACCGTCCTCTGACCAATGTACGTCTTTCCTTCTTATCGGTTTCTTGCTCTTCTTATCTGACACCAACTCTCCTAAGCGCGCCATTCCCCAAAATGCTACCAGAGCGATCGCTAATGCCGCATGATCTCTTTTTTTACCTACAGATAACACCTTCAATAATTGAACTAAATGTCTCAGCATTATGGGTTTCTTTTGTTCTTTTTCTGACTCTCTGATTGCCACCTCCGCTATCTTTGATGACTTCAGCAAGACCGATAACTTTAAACTGTCGTACTTTGGGTACTCCTCTTCGTGGAATAGATGCCAGCACTTTATTCCTGTTAAATACTTCTTCAGTGTCTCAACCTCGATTGTCGCCGACTCCTTGTTCTTACACTCCGATTTCCCATCTTCTTCCAGTTTCTTGCCTGCCCATACTACAAACTCGTATAATACATTCACCGATAACGGCAACAACTGCTTCTTTTCATATTTATTCTCAATTGCAAACTTCATTAGTTTTGATACACCACTATTATAATTTATCAAGGTCGCTTCCGCCCAGCCTCCCGATAACATGTGTTTTTGGACACTGTTCTCTCTCCATCTCAATTCTCCTTTTGCGTCTTGTAAGAATAACCTTATTTTGTTTTTGATCTTTGGAGAAATCATGCTATTTTGAGTAATGCTTCTAGGTCTTCTGGTAACTCGAGTAGTAACCTTGGTCTGGTTTGGTTTTCTTTGTCTAGTCCTCTTGATAAACCGTCGGCTCTATTGTTTCCTGACTCCACTCGCTCTTCTGTTATGTCGCACTGTAAGTCTAGCAATATTTTCTGAATCTTTTTCCACTCCTCGTTGACTTGCTCGCTTTTAGATCGTCGTTTGTGTATGGTGGATTCCGTCGTGGTGTTATCAGTCTTCACCCAAAAGTTCCTGCCTCTCACATCTGTCGATTTCCCAAGCATCAGCAGTCCTATCCGAATCGCGGCTGTTTCAGCCCATGCGATATCTCTACATGTTTCATCTGCTTCTAAACCGGCCGTCTTCCAACCATCTTTTAGTTTATACCTCACCCATCCGTAGTTCAAGATCACTCCTATACCGAAACCGCTTGCGTCACCTACCCAACCTACCCTCTTGGGTGTTACTTCTGGCACAATTCTCCGTGGTTCAAATGTTGATAATGCCTCTTTCCAACTCTCTAAATCGTTCCTCGCCGCTCTCGACAAAAACCTTTTTGCGTTCGTCTTCTGCCACGGATTTAGCCATGCGTATAGTCCTCTCATGTAGGGTTTCATGTTTGGTAAGATATATATCAAGTGAGCAATCTTTCCTATTAACGTGTCTGCCTCCTTTAAACTCCATGGTCCTTCTTCCTGTATCATCTTTGTTATTGCTTCTAATCTCTCTTTTAACTTTTCTTCAGGAAGTCTTACTGTCTTATCGACTCCGTTGAAGATGAAACCTAAATATTTCTGTTCATCTGCGAAGTCTCTTAGCTTTTCATAATTTGTCTTTACGCCCATCTGATCACTGATTCTTACGACCTCCTCTATTTTCAGCTCATCTTTTTCCAGTTTGACTATCATGTTATCGTCGACCCATCTAAAGATGTGATCGATACCTAAAATTTTCTGCACTATCAACCTCCATGCATCTGCCACTCTGCCAAAAGTCCCGCATCCTGCTACACCTCCGAATGGTACCGCGATGTCCATCCATATCCTGTTGTAAAAGTCCTTTATAGCTAAGTATTGCCACTCTTCTTCTTTTGTTCCTGCTTGCCGATACGCTTTCTCCCAATCATAAATTGCTAGTTGGATAATCTCGTCAAGGTGTTTCCTGAAGTATCTTGTTACCGCGTGGAAGTCATCCCATGTTGTGTCGAAGTTGTGTTTGTCTACCATTGAGTTCACTGATGGTACTTCTTCATTTTCTACTGGATACGACAAATCATTGATCATCCTCAAAGACCCATCGTTGTTGACTACACTCCCCATTGGATTCGTCCAGAAGAACCCCCATTTTGTGTACATTTCTTCGTGAGTAAATGGTCCAAAGACTCTTCCGGCTTCTTTCTCTTTGTTCAAGTTTCTCATAATTTTCTCCTTTACCGCCAGTGCTGATTTATGGTTGTCTGGTGTCCACCACCGTTTTCCTCTTAGATAATGTTCCGGTATGCCTTGAGTGAAGCCTTCTACCAAACCTTTTATCACCTCTTCTACCTCCTTCTCTACACCACACCTTATTGCTAGACTTCTCCATTCTTTTATGCTGAAGGAAGGGATTCATCGGTTAGCTCCCTGGACCCTTGTCAAGTCAGTCACCCTACTTACTTCATCTCACTTCTTGGTCCTTTTGGCCATTTAGTTCTTGCTCTGATTTCCTCGCTTCCTTGGACTTTTTCTTCCTGAAGCGGTTCTACTCGTCTTGTCTCTTGTCTTTGAGCTTCTACCCTCTTGTCCTGGAATCCTTCATTTTCAATGACCACCTCATTCTCACTTCTCACTTCTGTTAAAATCATGGGCTCGGGTTGAGGTGCGCTCACTTTCTCCCTGTGGATCACAGAATAGGAAATGGGGGGGGGGCAACGTGTCTCAGTTTTCACTCTCTCAAATTGACTCTTTCTATTTCTTGATAGGCATTTTTCTCTCACGCTTCCTCATAGTCTAACTTCTCTCTACAAGTTTTTGGATATGGAAGTATACAACATTTGTTTTCTACTCACTGCGGTGCTGCTGCTCCACTCCCATTCGCTCCCGCCTGCTTTGCTGCTTTCAATGCCTCGAAAGCTCCTGGTCCATACTTCGGCACTGCCACTCCGTTTACAATTGTCGTCGGGATCGGTGTTTGTGAGTTTCTGAGGGTACCGCTTCTTTCACTACCTCCTCTACTAAACCCTCTCCCTCTTTGACCTCTACTTCTCCCCGCTCCTCCGTAAGATCCACTTCCTCCTATCCCCTGGTCGTAATGATCGTGATGACCATGTTGACCTTGATTGAAACCGCCGTCATGACCTCTTCTTGACGGTTGATTTGTGTGCTGATGATGGTTCATGTTCTGATTCCTGTTATTCACAGCCAAATGCGATAGCATTCTACCTCCCGTTACTGCCGTTATCTGTTCTTCGTTTGATGACAACGTATCCCATCCTACTTGATATCTCCCGGTCCATGGATTGGTATTCTCTAGTGCACCTCCTATTATGTAAGGATTGTCGAAGTAACGATGATCTCCGTTCGCTTTGGCGTCTGTTATGGCCTGTTCTGCCAACTCTTCGTCTTTGGTTCCGACATCTGAAAGCGTTCCATCTGGCAGTAAGTGGCTGAAGACGTTCGTCCTATGAGTGATGTCGTATCTTAAGGCCGGTGCCCACGCGTCGTGATACTTTGTCTTCATAGCTAATACAATCTTTCGGTGCTCTTCAAGTCTCAAAGCTATGTCTTCTCGATGATATTTCGTCCTCCAATACTGAACGCACAAGTCGAATGAGGTCAACCACATCAAGAAGCTTTGTCTCCATTCGCTTGGGACTCTCAAACCAACGTAAGACACAATATCGGAGCAGGATGAAGTTTGTTTCCGTCTATTAGCCATATGGGTTTTATCTGCCAGTACCCACGCCGGTACGAAGATTGTCAGAGGGACATATCCGAAACAAGCCGACATCTTCCCATCCCAATATGGAGCTAAATCTATCAATCGGTGAGTTAACATTGTGCCTTGATTCATCTTTTTTCCAACTTTTGAAGGTTTCTCTACTGATTGATCTTTTCCTTTCCTTTTTAAGGAGCTTGGTTCCACTTCATCCTCTTCGCTTGAACAGTTCAGCATTTCAATTGGTCGTGGTTGAGATTTAACTTTTTCACACCATCTTGTGTACGCCACCTCTAGCATTTGAAATTTTCCGACTTTCCCTTTGTCGTACAATTTTAACAACTCATTGACGTATCTTTCATGCTCTCTTTCTATATGGGCATCCTCTTTAACTAGGTCTGCTTCATCTCCTGTTCAAATTTTCACACGCAAATACCAGTCATCAGTTATCTATCTTTCAGGCTTTTTCTGCGGTCTTTGGTCTTATCTGCCAATTTAGAGCTGCCGTTCGGTCACCGTTCCACCTGTGTGGTCTCGGGTCATTCTATCAACAAGGCATATGTTCCACCCGTGTGGTCTCATAATCTTCGACTGCTGTCTACTCGGCATATGTTCCACCTGTGTGGTCTCATAATCTGTAATAATCAGGGCCTCCGCTCCACCTGTGTGGTTACGGTAATCAAACTGTACATTTCCTATCTGTTCCACCCGTGTGGCTACAGGTTCTTTGGTATGTTTCTGGTTCTTTTCTTATCTCTTTTTAGGACATTCCCTGATAATCTCTTCTTTTATTCTTCCAGATTTTTTGGGGGGGGATGGTATAGGGAGGTTTGATTGAAGAGATAGGAGTCTTAGTGAAATATTGAATCAAATCTGCTTACCTAATTTGATGATTTCCTTGTCTTCATCTTCTCCTCTACCCACCATTCTCTCTTCTCCTTTTGTCGTTTCCTTTCCATCTCCTTCTTCATTATCTTCTTCTGTCAACTCGCTATACGGCTCTTCTTGACTTTCTTCTTCTCCTTCATCTTCATTTGGAGTATTTTCTTTAGGTTTCCTGATTTCTCCTTTCGTTTCGCTTCTTGTTTGTCTAGTTGTTGACGTCGTGTTCGTGGTACCGCCTCTTCCTCTCTTACCACCTCTACCTCTACCTCTTGTTGTTTTATGTGAGGGTTGGGTACTCAGTTGAGGACTCAAGGCTCACTAGATGGCTAAGGAAGGTTTGCAATTTTAATAATTATCTTTTAGATTTCAATTATAAAGTAATTACAATTGGAAATTTAAGAAAGAAAAGAAAGGGGGGAGAGAAGACTGGTCTGTTTGGATAAATCCAGACAGACTACAGTTAAATGACTCCTGAAAAGGAGATTTTAAATATAATTATAATTAATTATAACTGAAAACTGGATCCAAGGTTTTCCTTCAAACCTCTATTGACAGTATGAAGAGTGAGGTCTAGATCACTACACTGGTTGTTCTTATGGTCACCAACCTTGGGTTGTTCTTATGGTCACCAACCTTGGGTTGTTCTTATGGTCACCAACCTAAGTACTTATATATAGGCCACTACCCTATGAGTTGTTGAAGGTCACTAACCTAGTAAATAATCTACTTGGGGAAAGTAGAGGATCCAGAAAATAGTTGAAGGGTGTATTACTTACTTTTAGTCAGGAACTGTTTAAAGTAGAGAAGTAAATCACTAGTCTTAATTTATAAGACCCTTGATTATGAACTTCTATATTACTTTAAAGATGTTCTTTAAAAGTGATGTGTAATAAAAGCTTGGGGATCCCTCTCTGAAGGCTGAGAGAGGAGGAGTTTATATACTCTCCTCTCCAGACCTAACTGTAGTGATATTTGTTTATATCACTGCAGTGGTTTAGGGTTTAATTATTACTGTTATTTATGATTATTATTAATACTACATAATTACATATACCTGTTATGTAATTTATGTAGTATAAGCATTTTTAACTCTTGACACTGAGTTATGAGGTGTTATGAGTGTTTTATTACATATTACATATGATTTTAAATGTATATGTATATGTAATTAGGTTGTATATACGGTTTATTACAAGTTACATATGTTTTGTAGGGTTTATGTACATGTAATTAGTTGTCTAAAGGTGGTTATCTATGTTACAAGTTAGTCTTTGGGTACATACATATGTATCCAGGGCTGACATTTTACCTCTTCCTCTGTTCGACGTCTCTTGTTCTTTTTGCGTTTTCTGATTTTCATGTTCCGCTAGAATCTGATTTACGTCTTTTCCGAACATCTGTGTGCTTGATGAATCTTGTGTTGCCATTTTTTTGAAATAAATACTTTGTATTTCTTTATGTGTTGCGTAAACTTCAGATCTCTAGATCGAACTTGAAAGGTGTATGAGTAGCGAAGAGCGTACAGAAATTGTGAATATGAGAATTTTCACAATTTCTCGCTCTCCTCATGTGGTGCCGGGTATTTCCCGGCCCTGCTTTCCCGGGCCCATACACCGCGACCTTTGTCTCGATGGAACTCACAGGTGACGTCGTGCCTTTGGCCACCTGTGTCAATTGTAACACCATTCGAATAGTTTACCAAGCAAGTCTTGAAATATTTTCTAGTTACATGACATCTACTCCAGAGAGATGCACCTCGCATATAATCCCAGACTCAGATACATGAAAATCACTTGGTATAAACATCAGTGGTGTAATGCGTCACAGAGGTATGGATGTCAGGATTAGTTTCCTGCATAAGAAATTTCATTCAGGTCAAAGTTGAAATTCAACTTGGGCATCTCAGCACCCATCACAGCGTTTGTTGATCTAAATAAGTGCTCATGGACTATGGACTGCCACTATTGTTATGGTGGCTAGGGGCAAGAATCCCGAAGCCACAGCCCAGTCCCAGTCCATTGTATCTTATCAGGTATCAATAGTAATTATTTGCCTTTTTTGTTTTTAACACTTTGTATCTATACAGAAGGTTTCTCATTCTCGACTTCTTTGCTTTGAGAGCTCCAAAGAGCGCTACTCGTAGAAAATTGAACCTAAGAAGACTATCCCTCAATGAAAATTCAAAAAGAAATGATTCACGCTGTCCTATGAATAGTTGAGTGGGGAAGAAAATATTTTGGAATGAGGATCCTATCGAGATGCAGTAGGATCATTACTCAAGGCAGTCATTTTATAAAACGCTGTGATTGAACATAGAGGAATCGATCTGAAACATCCTATCATGCAAACTGTAAAGACACTCCAAGACAAATACCGACGCATCGCGTGTCTTCCGGCTTCAACTCCATCTCGTGTCAGTAAGACTCAAGGGCGATTTTGAAATGTGATGAGGATGTGACGTTTGTACTTGTAAATCATGAGAAGTTGATGAAACGATGAGATTGATCATCTTTTGTAAGTATAAAACACGATGGGGTCTCTTTCCCATTTCAAATTATTCGATGCTTAACGTCGGTCCCAAATCCCGGATCTTTTGCTTGGTCACCTCAGCCAGTTCGATGTATGTCGTTTTCATACCTCGCTCCTTCGCCAAGTTTGAACTAGCATAAGCATAGCATAGCATAGCGTATATAAGCTGTCTGTTCATCCTATAAACGAAGTGTTCCGTACTTTGTTTTGTTATAATATTACCGAGAACTGTCAACGACCTCAAAAATGACCATCCTCGCCTCTCAACTTTCTCCATTTCCTCTCTCTGAAAACCACGTAACCAACGCCCACGACATCGATTCTGGAAATGATGAGAGACCAATAATAAGCAAAGAGTATTATCTTTTTGGCCATCCTATCTCACATTCAGCTTCACCTCGTAAGGCAGCTTCTATCTTAAAAAAAACTCATCCATTCATCCTTGGTGCTAGGGCTTCATACTCACCAAAACCACATCGCACAAACCAGATTTTCATAATTTGATTTGGTCCAAGCTTTATCCAGACCGGCGTTATTCTCTATGTGATACTGCTAATCTTACCCACGAACAAATTGCGAAGAAGATCAATTCTGATCCAAAATTTGATGGTGCTGCAATTACCATGCCTTTGAAGTCGATGGTGATGAAGATTCCAGGTGTGATCGATAGGCTCACTCCTTCCGCTTTGGCTACTGGAGCAGTGGTTCGTTGCGTTTTTTTTCTTTTCCATCATCAATTTGTGGTTTTTGTTCACCACTTCTTTCTATAAGCATGCTGACCTCGGTTCAAGAATACCATTGTTACTGAATCCAAAACCGGATCTCGGGTCGGTACCAATACCGATACCGAGGGTATTCGACGTGCACTCCTCAGTCAACTTCCGTCTTCAAAGATCGATGCCTTTGAAGCCAATACCTATGCTGGATTTGTGATTGGATCAGGTGCTACGACTCGATCCGCAGTATATGCCCTCTCATGTCTCAACCTTTCGCCTATTTATTTAATTAATCGAGATCATGAAGAAACTCTGGGAGTGATGGGGCAATTTCCTCACTTAGATTTGAGAGCGATTTTAGACGAAGAAGATTTCGAAGCTGAATGTACTGGTCGATTTTCTAAACCGATTCCCATTGGAGTTGGATGCATTCCTGCTCTTGAACCGGTTACGGATCAAGAGAAGATGGTCTATCAACTCGCACGTGCAATCTTTTCTATTCCTTATGTTCCAGAGGCCAAAGAGACAGATGATGAGTTTATCAAGGCACCTACAAGACCTTTATTTTTGGAAATGGCCTACAAGCCTCGTCAAACTCCTATGTTGATTAATGCACAAGCATCAGGTTGGGCAACTATCGAAGGTATTCAAGCCAGTGAGTCATTCATTTAGATCTTACGTGTATCTTCAGCTTAATTGACTTGGATTTTGAACAAAAATTAAGTGATTGAACAAGGACTATCTCAAAGTAGGATGTGGATTACTGGAAATGCAGAAGCGGTGACGAATTTTGACAAAAATAGCGGCAACAGAATTATTCCTGAGGAAATTGAACTTGAAGCTAGAAATTTTGTAGAAGGGCTTGGTGATTTGTGAGGTTATCTTGGGGGGATAATTTCTTGTTCGCTATCATACATTATTCTACATATCTTACCGATGCTTTCCTTACATTGCATCTTACACATATTAGGATCGCGTAAAAACTCAAGTTTCATTGAACTCATGCATGACGTGTGCTTCCTGGAGGTAGTTGATAATCAACTCGGGGAAATGTTTCACTCGACTAACACACTGATCATCATACAGTACATATCCTTGATCTCGATGATCAGCAATCTATTGGGGTTTCAAGGATTGCGAAAGAAATCCAAAGCTTGTTATTCTAACTTCATGGTGGAAAAATCTAAATTACAAGAAAGAATATGAATAAAACCATTCATGAATAATGAGCCCCAAATTAATATACATTTTTCAGTAGGTGAGGGATTAAGCTACGGGGAATAAATTGGTAACTAGTTCAAAAGAGAGTGTACTAAAAATCATTCAAAATGAGGCGCCCAAAACCCAAGATCGAAAGAAACCTGAATAGGATGTTCCGGGTAAGAAAAGTTAGATGATGAGAATTGAATGTTTGAATGAAGGATACGGAAAAGACTTACATACTTGAGTTCAAAACAAAGACACCAACATAGATCAAATATTCATTTTGCGCGACGTGCAAGAGCCTGTGGGACCGTGAGGAAAAGTCAGATTCGTCGATAGAAGATGAATGAGAGAGAGATGAAGAAAAATAGATACATACCACTCGGTGAACGAGATCCGCTAAAGAACCGGGCTCAAAACTCGAAGCACATAATGGTTTTTTTCGGCGCCTGGGACGTGATTGAGGATAAGCAGTCAGAAAGTTTTGATTTTGTTCTTTAACTGATGGAGGTAAGTTGGTAATATGATCTTGAGTAGTAGGAGTGATGATAATACTTGGAGGGGATACGTTTGAAGGGGATGATGATTTGGTTTTCTTTTGGATCATAAAGTACTTGACAGTTAGCCAGATGAGAATGGGGAATGAAGATATGAGGAAGAGAGTCAAGAGGAGTAAGTTCAGAAGTGGAAGGACTAATTGTAAGGATTTTGGAACGCGTGAACGGTTGATCGTGTAGAGAACAAGAGCAGGCCCTACATAAAGCAAGGAGAATTGGTTGAAAATGATAATCAAGCAATCCGGGACCATAGTTGAGAGAAGGAAAGGTGACTGCTTAGGATATGAAGAAATGAGATAGATGTGAGGTAATGGTATTGGTGTTGATGATAGTAAAGAAGGTGTCTGAGTGAATTCTCAATCTGATTTTCATGTGTCTCTCTGGTGCTGATCACTTGCTGAGGATTCTCAGCTTGTAAAAAATGTCATGAATCAGCATCTTTCATTTCTTTTACAGAATTGTAACAAAAAGCATTTCAAGAATGCTGTTGATGATCGCGAAATAAGGGGGTAAAGGATGTTTGCTCAGTGTCATAAAAAGGAATGCTTGTCGGAAGCTCAGCATTTCTATTACATGAAAAACACGTTCTCGAGAGGTTAGATTTTGACTGTTGAGCGACTATTCCGGTGCTGTATGATAGCATCAGTTGTCTTGAGCAAAAAAGCAAGAACGGTAAGTGTTGATACGGAGGTTGTAGTACATAATTGGAACTTTTCGCAGTTGTTTTTTATGAGCACAAATGTATTTATGTTGAAGCATACTTGGTTGGCTGCAACTATGTTTTTGCGTGTTTAGATCTGATTGGATTGAATTGAGTGTCGCCCAGATACTGACATCAATGGAACTTCCACTTAATCATTTCAAACTACAACACAAAACTGGACTCCAAAAAGAACAAATACATGAGAGCTATCATTGATAATCCTACGATAAGGAAAAGCTAATGCTTCTAGAATAAAAGACTTCGAACTGAAGGATATGCAAAAAAACAAGGAAATGTAGAGGAAATAATATAATTGAAGACAGCAAGATCCAAGACATTAAAGAAAAAAATGCAAGAGGAAAAGATAATATACATACCAACTACGATGCAAGGATACAAATAGATTACTGATGGTTCATCATTACAATCACTAAAACACAAATTTAAAACCTTCTTCTCCACAATAATCCGAATCAAGCAGTTGTTTGCATGTATCAACCAAGATCTGAATCATTCCAACGACGAGTTTGATAGATAGCCAGTTATGTCGGTCATAAAGGTAGACACTGAAGAGTTGGCCGATCTTCTTGACAACGTTCGGTACACAATCCGCAAAGGCTCAGTTCTGGTCGGCAACAATACCGGCTCCGATTCCGCGTCTTCAAGGACGTATTGATCCATTGGTCCACCACCAGGACATAATTGTTCGAGGTAGTTGCTTAGCTCATCGTCCGACTCTGAGGCTGTACATGTACTTCCGATTGATGCAGATTTATTGCTCTTAGGTGACATGATTGATTGTAGAAGTTTGGAAGACAAAGGTTGGGTAGTTGGAATAGGACCTCGTCGACGTAAGAACTGGCGTACAGGAGAGACGTTCATTTTCAGCGCTCGGGAAGCAGGATTCTCTGGAGTAACTGGAATCTCTTCAGTTGATGGCGCAGTGTAGGATTTTTGTGAATACACCGAACTCGGGGAGCTGGAGCGAGAAGGTAGTTGTTGGACCAATGGCTCAGTCTTTGGAAAGCAGCCATCCGCTTCAGGAGTAGTGATTGATGTTGTACACTCCGGGGTATCTTCTACGGGATTTATAACAAACTCAGGTGTAAATGGCCCCGATTTATGTGAACGTAGTAGGCCTGGATGAACCACCGGAGAGGCAGTAGAGAGTGTCGGCAGATGTAGCTCAGCGGGAGAATTGATGATTGACGCCAAACAAAGGTGAATAGGAGAGTCAAGTAGCCCCTCACGCTCCAGCGCCTTATTGAGTGTAGTGGAGCTATCCATTTCAGAGACCTCTTCGGGTGATTGATTGGGTGCTTGAACGTCCGTGCATTTGACCAAGCTTTGAGGCTGATGATAGAAAGATGGCACAGAGTACAAACCAATGTGGGATAAGTGGGATAGTCCTCCCAAGATCTGAAGGAACGTTATAAAACTGACCTCGAGAAACATTATCGAATTGCGCATCATGCCGTCGAATAACGTGCTCGCAGCTAACCGGTGAGATATAGATGGTAGAGTTAACACCGGCAATGGCGTCGGCGAGACTGCTCGAAGCAATGTCATCTGAAAGATAGAAGTATTAAGCAAAGTGATACAATCAAGTTAGCAAGTCAAATGACAATTACGGGGCCCATATCAGAAGACATCAAAGATCTACACTCACGTCGCCGTTCATCAAGTTTGATAATCCAATACTTGATTTTGGATACTTGAGTCTACCGAGCGCAGAGCGAACGCGAGCACCCAACTTCTTTTTAGATTCACGAAAACGCATGGTAATTGATGATGGTATCAAGAAATAATGGGCGGTGAGTAGAGCTGTGTATAGCTGCGAAAAACTCAGATAAAGACGTGCAAAAAGCAAGTCGAGGGAAGCTGAAGGAGGAAAGAAAAGGAGGCAAGACAAGAAAAGCAAGCAAGAAATCACTGTCTTGGAAATGATGAAAAGTGCCAAGTACTTTTAGAGCGCGCGAAGATGGAAGTGGTATCGGAATCAGGGTTCAGCTAATGCTTGGGAAATATGGAAGAAGTGAGTTGAGAGATATGTGAAGGGCAATAAATAGGCTGTGACCTCAACAGTCCTTTATGTAGGCGCGAATGAGGTTTTCGTGCCTGAACATGCCTCAAGGGGAATGGTAGATACGTGAACACTGTCATGCAGACATAATTACTCCTCAGGTCCTTGATGGTTGTACCTGAGCTCATGAGGTATCAGTAACCCACTTGTCGTACTGAATCAGGTTCTAGGGACATAAAAACGAGGATGGGCTGGTTATGATGATGATCGATGAGTTAGTAGTTTTTCATCGAATGCCTCAAGAGTCAGGGAACTGGAGAAAGCGATCATTTTGATTGATGATGTAACTTCTATTTGAAAAGGCCCACACTCAGTGGTTCAATCGTAGTAGGCTCTGTTCTGCTCTGTTCCACTCCAGCAGGGTGCTAGAAATTAACAGTTGTCGTATTTGTCTAGCTGCAAAACTCTAGCGCTGCTGTTGGCGTTTTGGAGAGGTTGATATTCGTTGCAGTAGGAGTGGACTCATTGTTTCCATAGCTGATGAGAGTAAAAGAAACTCTTCACAAATCATGAAAATATGTTTTGTAGCCTGATGGCACATGCTGAGTATATACATATCTAGTATACCAATCCCAGTCGGATGCCAAAAAGCTTGCCGGACGCTGAAGGAACGGGATGTGAAGGTTGCAGAAAGGAGCTGGCGGGAGGTGCGAATGTGTCTTAAGATCTGTCACCAACACCGCACATCGCTCTTGGCTAACTTAACTAAGTCCCTTTTGGACAAACGAGTAATTGAAACTTTTTTGAAACTTTTAATGTAGATGAATACGTTTCCTGCATACAAACAACGGTTGACTTCCAGCGCACCCTGCGCGCCGCAGTCTGCGCATGCGCTGTGGCCAAGCGCCGGGGATTTTGAGAATTTTCCCCACTGCGCCTACCCCCAGCGTAGTGGGTTTTCTGATTTTGACCACTGCGCATTTTTGCACCACAGTGGCTATGGGATTGATCAAAACTGCGCCCCCTGCGCTACATTGCAACATTAAAGCAGAGTACAATATGTACATAAACAACGCTAAAGATATTGATACATTAGACAATTTTTGGGCCCCATCCATTATCCATTGGGCTAGAATCTTGTCCAATATTACCCCAATATCCTCCAAAACTCTATTACATAGGGAGAAAAATGAGAGTTGGGAAATGTCTCTTGATGTCTCCTCCTTCACTCACGCTCTCTTGCTCTTTCATGAGATCTTCCTCACCTCAAATTCCTCTCACTTTTGCTCGATAGACCACCACCTTCTGAATTATCAAATAAATCTCTAGCCACTATCTTTGTTTAGATATATCATATTATCTCAAAATGACTTTACGTAGACCCCTTTCTAAGAAATCAAAAGCTCCACTTTCAAAGAAACCCAAGTCTTCCACTTTGTCATCTCAGTCCAACCCCTTCACAAAGTCTGCAAAGCGTGCAAATACTAGTTTTCTTAATCAAACTCAATCACAAATTAATAATATAGCATCAGTTGTTGTAGTTGATGGAGACTCAGATGATGAAAATTTCGACCCCAACAAAGATAATCAGGAATTGGAAGTTGAGGAGGAAGAAGTTGAAGATGAAGAGCCAGGAGAGAATTCTTTCAATAGTACACCATCCCAAACCGATGGTAAACGAACTCGACAAGTGCCTAAAGCCTCAAAGTCCTCAACCTCAACCTTGACCAAAACCAAAACCAAAAGTGGGAAGAAAAAACATGTAAGTCTGATCGTTTCATTACAAATTCATCACATGACTGACTACTATATGGTACTATTAGACTTTATATAAACTTCCTGATAATATTGACCCCGACCAAGATTCAGAAATTGAGTTTCAAGGCGAAACCAAGTCTGGTGAACAGGGATTTGATTCAATTAATCTCTACTTTGGAAAGGAGCTTATACATGGACCAAAGCAAGTAAGTAGAAGTGTTTCAATTACGTGGTTGTCAAGAAATCTAATCTGACAAATCCTTTAGAAAGAAAACAAACCACCTAGGTGCCGTGAATGCTTGTGGTGTGGTAATGCATACACCGATGGCCGCAAAAGCCGTTGGAATCTTCTTGGCCATCGAGATGGTGATCTCAATCGCAATCACTGTAAACAACGCCACCGGGCAGTTGAGGCTGGGGCAAATCTCCCACCAACCTGGCAGGACAAGCAGGCGGAGTTAGCACGTGCCGAAGCTCAGGAAGAAGTTCAGAAGAATCACACACTTGATGGTTTCCTTGATCTACCAAAGTTCTCAGTTTCGTTACTCAACATCATATTAGTTCTATGGCTTCTTCGCAACTGCATTCCTTGGCTACGTATGGAAGATCCGTATCTTCAGGCTGCATTTGCGCTGTGCAATCCATCAGCCAAGCTATGGACGGCTTCGTGGGCAGCTCGGAAGGCGATGGACTACTTTGAGGAGTTCCACCACAAGCTGATCAAGACTCTTCAGGTGATAAGTTTTGCTCGATCTATATGATCACTTGATTGTGTAACTGATGTTGATCTTGTTTGGCTTTGACTTTGGCTTCGTTTCCCAGGATCTATCATCCAAAATCTGTGTAGTTCATGATGTTTGGACCACAAAGGGTGGAAAGCGAGCATTCATTGGTGTGGCTGTGTCATATATCGACAAAGATTTTCATTTTCATATGGTTCATTTGACCCTTAAGCTTGTAGCGTGGAATCATTATGGAGTTTTACTCGCACGCCCTGTAGGACGTTTCCTGATACGGCATGGACTACATAAAAAGATATGTTCTTTCCATTCTTTCATATCAATGATGTTTTTTTGACTCGATAAAAAGCTTACCTTGGTTTCGTGTCACACATGGTTGCTCAAACAACGGACTCAGGATCAAGCAATCCTCTTTTAGCCAAAGAATTAGAAAAGATGTTCAAGAATGCGGATGATCCTGTCTATTGGAACTCAAGTCGACCTCAGATACGATGTTATTGTCATAAATTGGCTCTCACAGTCAAGGCTGGATTGGACACGATTGGCTTTGGATCCGGCCAAACAAAACCCTCAGCCCCTTGTGGAAAGAGACTTCATTTACTCTTGCCTGATGACAGCTTACCACCCCCAAAGATAGTGCTCTCGGACGGTACTATACTCGAGGACAAGGACAACGAAGTTTCTGGCGCAGAGGATCTTACTGATGTGAATCCAATCACAGATTTAGCTCGTGATGAAGACGCCGAGAGCAATGAAGAAGATGAAGGCCCCGACTACAAAACACAAGATCCAGAAGCCGATCTTCTACCACGTGCTCTCACCAAGGTAAACCCCCTTTGATCTGTATCCCACCACTACATATGTTTGATAATGATTTGATCAATCATCTTTTCCTAGATTCGAAGGATCAACAAGTTGATCACATCAAGTGCTCCTCGTATCAATCATTTTCAGAACTCAGCACTCCAACTCTCTTATAAGGGCCCTGGACTGATCGGGGCTCATGGCCAGCGGTGGAACATCTGGTACGATGCCCAGTCGCGCTGTTGTGAAGCAAAGCAGGTAAGTACATAGTCGAATTCTACAAATGGAAATGTATTGATTATTTCATTGCTCTTCTCTGTTCCAATTGCCATCCTTAGGTTATCAATTTCATGATCACATCTGATCAAGAAGGGTATTACGAAGGGATCACTATATCTCCCGATGAGTGGAAGGCAGTCGAGGCACTGAACAGTGTTCTCGAGGTACACATCAAGTTTCTTTTGCTCCAAGTAGGGAATATTGACTTTGTATCTCTCTTGGTCAATGTGTAGATTTTTCTTCGTTCCACCAAGAAGATGGAAATAGACGGACCAACCGCGGGATCGGTGCTCTTCCAATACTCCACTGTAATCAGCTTATTGACCGCAAAGAAGACTGCGACACCTCATCCAAGCATCTCATCAATGATAACCACGATGACTAGCAAGCTGCGACTGTACCAAACCGAAGCGTTACACTGCGACCCCATCATATTGGCAACCATACTCAACCCGAACTTCCGTCTCACTTTCTTCACCAAACAGTATCCTGAATACGCCATGAATGCTGAACGACTTTTTCGTCAGACACTCAGATCCCTTGAAGAGCCACATGGCGAAGAGCAAGATGAAAATCTTGATTCTACACTTGGTCCGACTGAGGAGTCTGACCCATTTGAAGAGAAAGGTGCCTTCCATGCATCTGCGGGTCTGAAACTCTCTGTCGATGACGAGATTGACCTTTACATGTCTGGTAAATACCTTGTAAAGGCGATATATTGGAATGGTGGCGAGTAAGTCTTCCTTCTTCCTAATACACACACTTACTGGTACTCAATCAATCTATCTTCTCAGTTCAATCAAAAGAACTTCCCAAAGCTCGCTAGGCTTGCGAGAGACTATCTCTGTTGTGTTGGAACTTCTTGCGCTGTTGAGAGGACCTTCAGCACAGCAGCTCACATATGTACCACCAGTCGTGGTGGTCTAGTTTCACGAACAATCGAACGCGCGGTAGGCGTCTGTCAGTGGCTCAAGCATGGTTTTTATCCAGGTGGTGAAATTGGAAAAGCTGTTGTGGCTGTAGACAAACTGGTGAAGACTTTGAAAAAGAACAAGAAAGCCCAAGACTCGAGCAAATGAATGCTCGGCCATCTTTGGCCTCTTTCTGCTCTCATTCTTAATTGCTTTTGATCATTGTTTTATTTTCGTAACGTTCTTTAAAACCCTTTTAATCTTC